GGGATTTGGAAATATGGTGAGATAATTTTGACAGAGAATTTCTGGAATCATGACATATCCAGTCAGTCTGAACACAAAATTCATTTGATCTCATATGCTCCTCGGCAGCACCTGATTTTTTTTTTTTTTTTTGGGTAGGTCATGAGGCTTGAACTCTGGGCTTGGGCGCTGTCCCTCAGCTCTTCAGCTGAAGTCCAGCGTTCTACCAGTTGAGCTGCAGCGCCACTTCCGGTTTCCTGGTGGTTTATTGGAGGTAAGAGTCTCAGACTTTCCTGCCTGGGCTGGCTTTGAACCGTGATCCTCAGATCTCAGCCTCCTGAGTAGCTGGGATGACAGGTGTGAGCCACTGGACCCTTGTTCCCCCCACGCCCCATAATTTTAAGTGTTTTTTTTTTGGGGTCCGGTCGTGTGGCCTGAACTCTGGGCCTGGGCACTGTCCCTCAGGTCTTCAGTTCCAAGGCCAGCGCTCTACCACTTGAGCCACAGCGCCACTTCCGGCTTTTTTTTTTTTTCTTATGTGGTGCTGGGGAATCGAACCCAGGGCCTCAGGCATGCAAGGCAAGCGCTCTACCACTGAGCCACCTTCCCAGCCCTTAAGTGTTTTCTGTGTGGTCATTGGGATTGGACCCCAGGGTCCCCAGAGCTTACCTGGCTAGCTCCTCTTGCTCAACTTGCTCGACTTCATTTGCTCTCTCAACACCTTGAGCCTTGCCTCAAGCCCTGCTTTTTTCTTTTGTGCTGGTGATTTTAGAGATAGAGTCTACTGTTCTTCCCTGCCTGCACTGGCTGGCTTCAGATTGTCATCCTCTGGTGTCAGTCCTGTGAGGAACTAGGATTATAGGCACAAGCCCCCCGTGCCTGGCACAACTTTCTCTTGTGTCCTGGGGTTTGCACTCAAGGCTTCACAACTGTTAGGGAGGCCCACCACCCGCATTTTGTGTGTGTGTGTGTGTGTGCGCGCGTGCGCGCATGCATGTGCACATGCCAGTCCAGGGGCTTGAACCCAGAGCCTAAACGGTGTCCCTGAGCTTTTATGCTCAAGACTAGCACTCTACCACTTGAGCCACGGTGCCACTTCTGGCTGTTTGGTGGTTAAGTGGATCTGGGCTGGCTTTGAAGTGAGATCCTCCAATCTCAGCCTCCTGAGGAGCTAGGATGACAGCCCCTCGCAACTTTTCACCCGATAGTTTCTTTAGTCAGTCTATCCCCACTGGACGCGCTCTGGCCGCAGGCCTCTTAACCAGTGGTAGCTCAGGAGATGGGCTGGTAGGTGCGAGGTGATGGATGTGTTTGGATGTCCCGACAGCGCTCCCCAGAACAGCCACACAGACACTGCCCTGCTGGGCAGGGTGTGTGCACACACAGGATCCCTGGAGCCCAGGAGTTCAAGACTAACCTGGGCCACGCAGCTAGACCTTCCCCCTACAAACGAGAATGGTTATGAGAATGGCTTAGGGAAGTCCATGGGATGATGCCCCTCCCCTCCCCCCACCCCCACATGGTCACCCTCGGTGAGGCCCCACGCCCGTCAGACCCCGACCTTCCCCCCCCCCCCCCCCCCCCGCACTCACAGGCCTTCCTCTCTCCCTCTGCACCCCATGGAGGGGCGGTGGCTCCCTGCAGCCGCGACCTTCAGCACACAAGGACCGGAAGGGACAACAATCCTGTCCCTGGGGACCAAGGGCCAGCTCAGAGAAGCACGCGGTGACTCCTCGGCTGCCCCTCCCCGGGATGCAATGCTGCAGGAAAAGGCAGCCCCGCTCCTGGGGGTGCCCCACCCCACCCCCACATCCTTCCACTCCGTGCCTGGTCCTCCCAGGCCCGTGCTGTGCCAGCATGCGGCCCACATGGCCGGGCACAGCAGGGGGGCGGGGGGGGGGGAGGAAGGGGGGGAAGCGCTGGCTTCCCACGCGCAGAGTGACATTTCCAGGGTTCTGCACAATGGACAGGCTGCAGACCACGATCGTGGGCCGCTAGCCCAGGAAGAGGAGGGGTGAGTAATGGAATCTCAAAGACTACCTGACACCGAGGGGGCTCCCACCCGTGGCCCCCCCAGCTCCTCCCATCACTGGGCCCTGTTGCCGGTGGTTCTTTTTTTTTTTTTTTCTGTCAGTCCTGGGGCTTAAACTCAGGGCCTGGGCGCTGTCTCTTAGCTTCTTTTACTCAAGACTAGCACTCTACCACTCGAAACACAGCACCACTCCCAGCCTTTTCTGTGTATGTGGTACGGAAGAATCGAACCCGGGGCTTTTTTGTGCATGCTGGGCAGGCGCTCTGCCACCGAGCCACAGTCCCAGCCCCTGTGGTTCTTCTGAGTTATCATGAAGTTCCATTTAGTCTCCGGCAGTAAATACGGAGCAGGAGACAATCCTGAAGATGGACGTTTTCTAGAAGACACGAGGTCCCCACAGCTCTGAAGGCAGGAGCTGCGTCTGCTGTACAGAGCCTCTCTCAGAGGAGCAACGACGGAGCTAATGGATGCGGAATGCAGCCGACTTTCCACAGAGGTGACAAAATTGCAATAAAAAATAATTGTCTCGTGCTTGTTAGAGCCCCATACTTTATAAAGCTTTTTTGAGGAGTAAGAACTGCTTCACACACTCGGGTGTGTGTGTGTATGTGTGTCCCCAGTCCTGGGCGCTGTCCCTGAGCCTCTGTGCTCAAGGCTACTGCTCTGCTGCTTGAGCCACAGCACCATTTCTGCCTTTTCCTGAGTGATTTATTGGAGGTAAAAAGTCTCCCAGACTTTCCTGCCCAGGCTGGCTTTGAACCAGGATCCTCAGATCTCAGCCTCCTGAGCAGGACTACAGGTGTGAGCCACTGCTCCCAGCTGCTACAACTCTTTGATTCACAAGAGTTTCAAGAAAACCTGTGTAACGTTACACTCCAATTTTCCATCACTTAACCAAGGTTGAAACTAGGCAGGAAAGTCTGTGAGACTCCTAGCTCCAATGAACCAGTAAAAAGCCAGAAGTGGCACTGTGGTCTAAGTGGTAGAGCGCTAGCATTGAGCACGAGAGCTCAGGGGCAGCGTCCAGGCCCAGAGTTCAAGCCTCACAACTGACCAAAAAACAAACAAACGACTCCAGGATTGGACATTGTTGTTTACACCTGCAATCCCGGTGACTAGGGAGGCAGATATAGGAGGATGGAGGTTGGAGGTCAGCAGGGAAAAAGTGCTGCTTTATCTCAAAATCGGTTTGGGCATGCTCAGAACTCCAGCTCCTCGGGAGGAGGGCGAAGCAGGGAGATCTACGTGTAACGTCCCCGGTGGCCCATTCCGCATAACTCTCACATTGCACAGCTGAGGTCAGCCGAGCTGGAGCCTCTCAGAGGTCGCCGACTTGCCTGGGTCTCCTTTCCTAGGCCTCCCCGGACTGCCTTCCCTTCCCCTAAAACTCGAGTCCCCGCGGGGCCTGAAGGCCAGTGTGCGCTCACACCTGAGGAACTGTGCGTGGACGCTGACTGCTGACCGGAGCCCCTCCGGCCTCCAAGTCCAAACCTCCATCCCCGCTGCCTCCACCGGACAACCAACTGCTCGCTCCGTGGGGTTGGCCGGGGACCTTGACTCTGTGGGCCGCCCTAGGCTGGGGACGGTGGCCACCTCGGGGGGATGGTCCGCGGGTCAGCTCGGGGGGAGGGGGACAGCCCGCGGGTCAGCTGGGGGGGGACGGCCCGCGGGTCAGCTCGGGGGGAGGAGGACGGCCCACGGGTCAGCTTGGGTCAGGCTCCTGGAGGGGACGGCCCGCGGGTCAGCTGGGGGGGGGACGGCCCGCGGGTCAGCTGGGGGGGGAAGGCCCGCAGGTCAGCTCGGGTCAGGCTCCTGGGGGAGATGGCCCGCGGGTCAGCTCGGGTCAGGCTCCTGGGGGGGACGGCCCGCGGGTCAGCTGGGGGGGATGGCCCACGGGTCAGCTCGGGTCAGCTGGGGAGGACGGCCCGCGGGTCAGCTCAGGTCAGCTGGGGGGGGACGGGCCGCGGGTCAGCTCGGGTCAGCTGGGGGGGGACGGGCCGCGGGTCAGCTCGGGTCAGCTGGGGGGGGACGGGCCGCGGGTCAGCTCGGGTCAGGCTCCTGCGGGGGACGCCCGAGGCTCGCGCTCGGACCCTGGGCTTCTCCCCCCAAGGCCGGCGCTCCGCCGCCTGACCTCAGCTCCAGCGCGGGCTCTCTGGCCGCTCATCGGCGGTCGGAGCGCCGCGGCCTTCCGTGCCGGGCCGGCTTCGAACCGCGGTCCTCAGCTCAGCCGCATGCGCGCCCTTCCCATTGGTTCGCGGGCGGCACCGCGGAAAGGCCGCGCGCTGTCGGTCACCCAAGTTCACCCCACGGCACAGACCGGGCGACCAGGCCGGACCTGCCCGGCCCTCGGCCCCGGCCCCGGGGCTGCAGCGCAGGGGCCACGGCGGCGGCTGGGAGACGTCCTCCGCCCGCGGGCCACCGGCGCCGGACGGGCACTGGGAGTCCCCGCCCCTCCTCCGGCCACGCCCATTCAGAGACCACGCCCCAGAGGCGGTGTCCATCCCGGAGACCACACCCCTGGAGGGCTTCGCAGCCCCGCCTATCCAGAGACCACGCCCAGCCCGGAGATCACACCCCTGGAGGGCTTCGCAGCCACGCCCATCCGGAGGCCACGCCCATCCCGGAGACCACTCCCCTGGAGGGCTTCGCAGCCCCGCCCATCCGGAGACCCCGCCCCCACCGCCCCACCCGGAGGCCACGCCCTACCCCGCCCGCGCCTCGGCCTGACGTGGGGCGGGGCAAAGCGGAGGCCGCCGGGCTCCGGGAGACGTTGGATGACCCGGCGGCCGGGGAGCGACGGCGCGGGGCCCCGGGAAGGGAGACGAACGCGAGGCGGGGCGGGGGGCGCTCGGGTCGATGAAGAGTCGCGAAGAGCACGTCCGTCCCTCTTGCTGTACGGCACCCCGTTACTCTGCGTCTTTTCGGGCCTTCGCCGCACTTCCGGTTGTGCTTTCCGGGCGCGGACCTTCTTCCCGGCGTGCCTTGCGCCCCCTCTTTCCCAGAAGCCCCCGCGCCGCCGCCTCGTCTCCGGGCGGGGCTCCCGGCGTGCACCGCGCGCTCCGGGGCGGCGCGTAAGTGGGGCTCGGGGCGGGGGTCCGCGGCGCGGGCCGGGGCGCGGGTGGGCCCGCCGCGTCCGTCCGTCCGTCCGCACACACACCCGTCCGTCCGCGCGCACACCCGTCCAACACCACTGACTCCTTTCCGCCTTTCAGTGTGTCCCCAGTCCCGGGCCGAGCGCGGGGCCGCCGCCCGCGAGGCCGGGCCGGGCGCGGGAGGCCGGGGTCCCCAACGCCCGCGAGGCCGGGCGCGGGAGGCCGGGGTCCCCAACGCCCGCGAGGCCGGGCCGGGCCGAGCGCGGGGCCGCCGCCCGCGAGGCCGGGCCGGGCGCAGGAGGCCGGGGTCCCCAACGCCCGCGAGGCCGGGCCGGGCGCAGGAGGCCGGGATCCCCAACGCCCGCGAGGCCGGGCCGGGCGCAGGAGGCCGGGGTCCCCAACGCCCGCGAAGCCGGGCCGGGCGCAGGAGGCCGGGTCCCCAACGCCCGCGAGGCCGGGCCGGGCGCGGGAGGCCGGGGTCCCCAACGCCTGCGAGGCCGGGCCGGGCGCGGGAGGCCGGGGTCCCCAACGCCTGCGAGGCCGGGCCGGGCGCGGGAGGCCGGGTCCCCAACGCCCGCGAGGCCGGGCGCGGGAGGCCGGGGTCCCCAACGCCCGCGAGGCCGGGCCGGGCGCAGGAGGCCGGGTCCCCAACGCCCGCGAGGCCGGGCCGGGCGCAGGAGGCCGGGGTCCCCAACGCCTGCGAGGCCGGGCCGGGCGCGGGAGGCCGGGGTCCCCAACGCCTGCGAGGCCGGGCCGGGCGCGGGAGGCCGGGTCCCCAACGCCCGCGAGGCCGGGCGCGGGAGGCCGGGGTCCCCAACGCCCGCGAGGCCGGGCCGGGCGCAGGAGGCCGGGATCCCCAACGCCCGCGAGGCCGGGCCGGGCGCAGGAGGCCGGGATCCCCAACGCCTGCGAGGCCGGGCGCAGGAGGCCGGGGTCGACAAAGGGGGCCCAGGGACAGCGCCTAGGCCCGGGACTGACACACACACACACAGCCTCACAGCCACACACACACAGCTTCACACACACCCAGCCTCACACAGAGCCTTACACACCAGGACACACATACACCAGTACTTACACACCAGGACTGACACACAGCCTCACACACACACAGCCTCACACACACAGCCTCACACACACACAGCCTCACACACACACACACACACAGCCTTACACACCAGGACACACACACAGCCTCACACACACACACACAGCCTCACACACCAGGACACACACACAGCCTCACACACACACAGCCTCACACACCAGGACACACACAGCCTCACACACCAGGACACACACACAGCCTCACACACCAGGACACACACACAGCCTCACACACCAGGACACACACACAGCCTCACACACCAGGACACACACACAGCCTCACACACCAGGACACACACACAGAGCCTCACATACACACAAAGCCTCACACACACACAGAGCCTCACACACACACAGAGCCTCACACACCAGGACACACATAGCCTCACACACACAGCCTCACACACCAGGACATACACAGCCTCACATACCAGGACACACACACACACCTCACACACACACAGCCTCACATGCCAGGACATACACAGCCTCACATGCCAGGACATACACACAGCCTCACACACCAGGACACACACACAGCTTCACACACCAGGACACACACACACAGCCTCACACACCAGGACTGACACACACACACACACACCTCACAGACTTTCCTACCCAGGCTAGCTTTGAGCCACAGTCCTCGGATCTCCGTCTGCTTTTGGCTGGGATGGGGACAGAGCCCGGCCCCCGGCGTCCTGTGACTGGTGTGCCTGCAGCTTTCTTCTGTCTCTCCCATAGCTGAGGAGCGTGGCTGGCTTCAGTTGACCGTCCCAGGAGCTCCTGCAGCGCCCTGCGCCCAGCCGTCCTGGAGGTCTCCTCCAGGGCTTTCATCTCTGCAGAGCCAGCATCAGCATGTCTGGGGCTGAGGACGCGCCCCCTGGGGGCTGTGACCGGCCCGCCGCGGGTGGCAGGGCTGTGCTGTGTTTTGGACAGGTATCAGCTGCTCTGTCCCGGGCCGGTCACCCGCACAGCTGTGTCCAGGAGGGTCTGTGATGCGCTGCACACGTTCCCAGCTTCTCAGCACTGCTCAGAGGGCTGGGAGTGTGGTAGGGCGCCCGTCTAGCATGTACGAGGCCCTGGGTTCCATTCCTCGGTGCCACATACACAGAAAATAAATAAAATTAGTTTTAAAAAAGACTGAGCGTAGCAGGAATCTTGTTTAGATGGGTATTATGTATTCATATAAGGTACAATTCAAAGTGAACCCGGCTGCATGTGAAGAGCCTCCTGATTCTCCCCAAAACGGGAGCGGGGTGGGGAGGGGAAGGAAGCGGGGGGGGGGGGGGGGGGGGGGTGCCCTCAGCCTGGCCCATCTCTCATTTGGATTGCAGACTCAGTACTCGGCGGAGGAATACCAGGCCATCCAGAGCGCCCTGCGCCAGAGGCTGGGCCCGGAATACATAAGCAGCCGCATGGCTGGAGGAGGCCAGAAGGTAGGAGGAGCAGCTCCATGACCTGGAGATGGGGCCCCCAGCCCCCCATGTGGGGCCAGACTCAAGTGAGGGGCTACTTCCTAGACCCTCCGGGAAGCAGGCAGGGGGTGTCTAGCCTTCAGAGTCATCTGAAGTAGTCCAAGCATTCATTGCCTTTGTGTAACAGCCTGGCGCTGGCGGCTCCCGCCTGTCAGCCCAGCTACTCAGGAGGCTGAGATCTGAGGATCATAGTTCAAAGCCAGCCAGGGCAGGAAAGTCTGGAGACTCCTATTTCCAATGAACCACCAGAAAACCAGACATGGCGCTGTGGCTTAAAGTTACCTTGAGCAAAAAGAGCTGAAGGACAGCGCCCAGGCCCTGAGTTCAAACCCCATAATCTCAAATATATAAATAAAAATAAAATTATACATATATTTTTCCAAGTAGCTACTGGGGTTACCTCCGGGGTCTCGCATTTGCCCAGCAGGCTCTACAGCTCACTGTAGTATATTATCTGAGTAGTTTATTGGAGCAGAGTCTCATGAACTTTCCTGCCTGGGCTGGCTTTGAACCAGGAGCCTCAGACCTCAGCGGAGCTGGGGTGACAGGCGTGTTACAGTGGCCTGGATTGCAGTCCTGGTTTTGCTCCCTGGTAGCTGGGGTGGTGAGGCGGGCGCCACGGTGCCCGTGGCCAGGGATTCCTGTGAGCTCATGGCTGCCTGGCGGGCCCCAGCTCTGCCTCCCGGGCAGCTGGGTGTCCAGGCGTGAGCCGGTGCCAGCCCTGCCCCGGCTCTTTCTGTATCTCTGAAATCCGCACTAGGCGCATGGAGGCTCACGTAGGTGAAAATGCCCTTCCCGTGTGACTAGGCCGACGCGGCCTTTGCCCGGCTCAGGGCCGCCCCCTCGTTTTCCAGGTGTGTTACATCGAGGGCCACAGGGTGATTAACCTGGCCAATGAGATGTTTGGCTACAACGGCTGGGCGCACTCGGTCACGCAGCAGAACGTGGGTGCGCGTCTCCCCTCCCCGCCTCCCTCGCTTTGAGCATGGGGCGGGCCCGGCCGGGCGCTTTCTGGGGTGGGCTGCTGCTTCCCTCTGAGGTCCCCCCCCCCCCCGCCCCCTGTTCTTAGATTTTGTGGACCTTAACAATGGCAAGTTCTACGTGGGTGTCTGTGCCTTCGTGAGAGTGCAGTTAAAGGTGAGTGGCATGGCGCCCCCTGGGGGCGGGGACAGGGATGGCCCAGGCCCAGGACAAAGGCCAGATAATGAGCATAGCCCGGCTGTGGGATGCCGGCTGCCGGGATGCCGGGTGCGGGCACACGCCAGTGCCAGGCCCTTCCGCCTAGATGGCATCTCACGGGGTTTTCCACCCCGGGCTGGAACTGTGCACCTGCAGATGTTAGCCTCCCAAAGATCTAGGCTTTATGAGGGTGAAGTCTTAACGGATTTGTTTCTGTTTTTTCTTCTGGCAAATGCTGGGGTTGAACTCAGGCCTCAGGCACTACCACAGAGCCACACCGCAGCCGCCTCAAATGCTGTTCTGGGTTCTTTATATAGCCACTGTGTGTGTGTGTGTGTGTGTGTGTGTGTGTGTGTGTGTGTGTATTACCCGCCCCCCCCCCCCCCCGCCCCTGGTGCTGGACACGGAACCCAGGATCTCATCAGCACTAGGCACTTGCTCTGTCACTGAAATACTGTCTCAAACTCTAGAAAATGATTTGCCTTTCAACCTCATTAATTCTATTCCGACTTCTAAAATAAGCATTCTAAGGTAGATGGGGATGGGTAGGTTTTGATACATATGTATATATGTTCATTTCCTGCAGTGCTGTGTGAATTGTTTTCAAAGTATTGGTGTGGCATTGTTTAACTCTATCATTGGCAGTCAGTCCGAGAAGTGGATGCCATCGGACAGTAGGAAAGACAGAGGAGCAGGTGTGGTGGTCGACGCCTGCAGTCCTAGCTACTTGGGAGTCAGGAGGATGGCAGTTTGAGGCCAGCCTGGGCAAAAGTTTCCACCACCCCATCTCAACTGATGCTGGGCGATGCTGGGCGGAGGACGGCCTGGGTGTGACTGGGAGCGGGGCTCCTGTGGTAGAAGGCGTGCATTGGTCACAGGGCCCCGAGTTCAGTCCCCAGTACGCCCTCTGGGGGAGGGTCTGCTGCCTATTAGGTATGATGGGGGTCAGCCCTTTGCTGGCTGAGGAGGTGCCGGGCCCGGTGCGGGCGGGGCTGGGCAGGGAGCAGCGGCCGAGCTCCCGCACTTTCTCCCCTTGGCCAGGATGGCGCCTACCACGAGGATGTGGGCTACGGAGTCAGCGAGGGTCTCAAGTCTAAGGCCTTGTCCTTGGAGAAGGCCAGGAAGGAGGCGGTGACCGACGGGCTAAAGCGTGCGCTCAGGTCAGCATCAGGCTGCGCTCGGCTCTGCGTCCCGGGCCTGAGCAGCACCCACTCGGCCATTGCCTGGGCAGCCCGAGCCCCAGCCGGTGCTCAGCCCTGCCCCTTCCCCTCATGCCAGGAGCTTCGGGAACGCGCTGGGGAACTGCATCCTGGACAAAGATTATCTGCGCTCCCTGAACAAGCTCCCCCGCCAGGTACGCTGCACATGGCCAGGGGGCGGGGGCAGAAGGCAGGGGGCAGAGGGCAGGGGACGGGGGACGGGGACAGTAGCTGCCACGGGCTCTGGGGGTTTTGTGCAGAGGCCGTGTGTCCGGTAGGAAATGGAGGCCTTGGTGGTTTCCCTGCCCATCCTGGTCAGGAGTTGTGGCCGGCACGGTCTGCGTCCCGCGTCCCCTCCCTCGGCCTCCTCCACGGGAAGGCTCTGCCCCCCTTCTGCCAGGACAACCCCCCACCCCCACCCCAGGCAGCTGCTTTTTGTTTTTGTTTTTGCTGATCCTGGGACTTGAACTTGGGGCCTGGGCGCTGTCCCTGCACTTTTCAGATCAAGGTAAGTACTCTCCAGTGCACTTTGTTTTCTGGTGGTTTATTGGAGATGAGAGTCTCACGGACTTTGCTGCCCAGGCTGGCTTTGGACTGCGATCCTCAGATCTCAGCCTGCTCAGCAGCTGGGATGACAGGCGTGAGATCACTTTGGGAGAGGACTGTTTGAACACGCTCCTCCCTTTCCGCTCACTGCCTCTGCCTCTGGTCGCAAAGGACAATGGTCTCCGGGCCCCCCTGCCTCGGGGTAGGAGCCACGTATGCAGAACCCAAGCCACCATTTGGTGGAGCTCAGGAAAGCGCCAGGTGCATGGGCCAGGCGGGAGTGGCCAGAAGGGCAGAGGTGAAGTCAGGGTTCCCGGGGCAGGGGGATGGGGGTGGGAGAATGCGGGGCAGGCTGGGGTGCGGAGGTGAGCGGACACAGCACCAGAGCACTGGATGGGGAAGCAGGCCCAGTCGGGGTCCCCGCCTGCGGAAGCTGGGGCTGGCTGGAGGGAGCGTGCTGCGCTCCCGCTGCCGAGCTGGGCTTTCTACGGGCATCCCAGCGTGACCACCGCCGGCGCCCCGGGCCTGTGGCTTGGCGGGTGTGCCCAGCCCCACTCCCAGGCAGCCGTGGGGTCCTGCACCCCTCTAGACGTGCACCGAGACCACAGAGTGTCTTTAGTAGGGCTGCTTTGTGGCGCTCATCCTCGGTGAGGCCTGCTCACCACATCTTGAAGGTGTCTGTTGAGGTCTGTGCATACTCACCGTTCCAGTGTGATGGAGGGGTGACGGGGAGTGATGGAGGGGTGGTGGAGAGAGAGTGGAGGGATGATGATGGAGGGGTGACGGAGAGGTGATGGACAGTGATGGAGGGATGATGGAGGGGTGATGGGGATTGATGGAGGGGTGACGGAGGGGTGATGGAGAGTGGAGGGATGATGGGGGATGATGGAGGAGTGATGGAGTGATGGACGAGTGATGGAGGGATGATGGAGGGGTGATGGGGATTGATGGAGGGGTGATGGAGAGTGGAGGGATGATGGGGGGTGATGGAGGGGTGATGGAGAGTGGAGGGGTGTCGGAGGGGTGACAGGAGTGATGGAGATTGATGGAGAGATGATGGAGGGGTGATGGAGGGGTGATGGGGGGTGATGGAGGGGTGACGGAGGGGTGATGGACAGTGATGGAGGGATGATGGGGGGTGATGGAGGGGTGATGGAGAGTGGAGGGATGTCGGAGGGGTGACAGGAGTGATGGAGATTGATGGAGGGGTGACGGAGGGATGATGGAGGGATGATGGAGGGGTGATGGGGGGTGATGGAGGGGTGACGGAGGGGTGATGGAGGGATGATGGAGGGGTGATGGAGAGTGGAGGGATGATGGGGGGTGACGGAGGGCTGACAGGAGTGATGGAGATTGATGGAGGGGTGACGGAGGGGTGATGGACAGTGATGGACAGTGATCCTTTCCAGGATCTCCCGTCAGGCAGTTTTCCTCCCGTATTTTTTACAGCTGCCTCTTGAAGTGGATCTGACCAAAGCCAAGAGACAAGACCTGGAGCCGTCGGTGGAGCAGGCGAGGTACAACAGCTGCCGGCTGCAGGCGGCTCTGGGAGTCCCGGGGGCCGCGGCAGCGCCGGCCCAGAGCAGACCAGGCCGCCCCGAGGAAGAGGAGGGGGAGACGCGCAGCTGCTCCAGGTAGGGCCCTCCAGGTAGGGCCCGTGTGTGCTTCGTTTGTGCCCCCTCCTGCGGGCCGGGCCGGGCCCCACCCTTGCCTGGCACTCACGTCTCTGGCTCCACAGCGTGGAGGAGTCCACGCTGCAGCGGAAGCTGCGGCAGAAGCAGCTGCAGCAGCAGTTCCGGGAGCAGATGGAGCGGCGGCCCGCTGCAGCTGTGGGACAGAGTGACGGTGCGTGGGGGCGGGTCTCCCCGGCTCTCCTGGCTGGCGGGGCGGGAGGGAACTTGACATTTCAGGGCAAAAGGATTTTTGTGTGTGCGTGCAGTACAAGGCTTGAACTCGAGGCCTTGTGCCTTCCCTTGGCTTTCATTCAAGGCTGAAGCCCGCTCTTCCCCTTGAGCCACACCCCCACTTTCGGCTTTTTGCTGGTCAACCCAAGATCGCAGTCTCACAGAGCTCTCCCCTCAGCCGTCTGCGCCCCAGGTCTCTTGCCTCCTGAGCAGCTGGGGTGATGGGCAGCAGCTGCTTGGTGTGCACAGAAAGGCGTCAGTGGGGGGCCCGCAGGGGCGTGAGGGCGCCTGAGCAGGGACTGTGCGCGCGGGGGGAGCGCGGCAGGGGTCGGGGGAGGTGGGCTGCGCAGGCCCCCCACCCCCCACCCGCAGCCCGCGTTGGTTCCCTGTCCTTCTCTGCACGCACGGGGAAATGAGTGTGACACACAGCCAAGGCCTCAGGGCGCTGTGACGGCTCACCACCGCAGGGCTGCAGAGGGGGCGTCGCGGTGGGGGTGGTGATGGTGGTGGTAGAGGGCGTCGCGGTGGGGGTGGTGATGGTGGTGGTAGAGGGCGTCGCGGTGGGGGTGGTGATGGTGGTGGTAGAGGGCGTGGTGGTGGGGGTGGTGATGGTGGTGGTAGAGGGCGTGGTGGTCGTGGTGGTGGTGTGGTGATGGTAGAGGGTGTGGTGGTAGTGGTGGTGTGGTGGTGGTGATGGTAGAGGGTGTGGTAGTGGTGATGGTAGAGGGTGTGGTGGTGGTGTGGTGGTGATGGTAGAGTATGTGGTGGTGGCGGTGGTAGTAGTGGTGGTGGCGGTGGTAGTGGTGTGGTGGCGGTGGTGGTGGCGGTGGTAGTGGTGTGGTGGTGATGGTAGAATCATGGGGGGGGGGGTAATGGTGGCCCTCACAGAACCCCAGAACCATGTTTGGAGCCGCTGGCTCGCGGCTCGCAGCCAGCCCTGTCAGCTGCTGTTGGCAAGCGTCACCCCAGCTGCACAGGGGACCCCATCCCCAGAGCTGCCAAGGGGCCGGGGCGGAGCACAAGGGGCTGAGCGCGGGCGTAGGCAAGCGTGAGGCTTAAGAGTTCAAACCCCAGCATCCCCCAAACCAACAACAGCGTTTCCTTGTTCCTACTTTGGGAGGAAGGCAGACGGCGGGGCGGGCGCGGGGAAGAGAAGCGCTAACAAGCCCACCGGCTGCGCCATCCATCCCTGTCTTTTCTGCTTGTGTCACCCACAGTGCCCCCCCCGGCCCCCCCTCCGCCCGGCCCCCCCTCGGCCCCCGCCCCCCTCAGGGAGGACCACCCATCAGGTGAGGAAGCCCCGGCCCAGCCTGCGCAGCTGCACTGCCAGGCCCTGTGACCTGTGACCTGTGCCCCCTGCCCCCTGCAGCAAACCCGGAAGACAACCTGGACCTCTGGGACCTCACTCCAGACCTGGAAGACTTCTCGAAGCCCTCGGTGAAACCAGAACCCCCCTGGACCTCTGCCCACGCAGCCCCGGACCACCAGGTGGCGCTGCAAGACCGGCGCCCACACACCTGCCGCCAGAAGCCGGAGAAACCCGAGCCCTGGCACCCCCAAACCTGCAACGCGCACTGGCTCCCAACAGGTAGCCCAACACCCGAGGCCAGTGCAGCTGCTCAGGAGACAGGGGTTGTGAGGCTGGCGGTTGGAGGCCAGCCCTGGCAGACAGCTGTAAGGCCCTTTCTCAACTAGCAGAAGCCGGGTGTGGCCACGTGTCTGTGCGGCCCCCAGTCTGAGCGGGAGGTATAACTCAGGAGGAGCGTGGCAGGCAGAGCTACACAGAGGCTGAGATCCGAGGGTCATGGTTCAAAGCCAGCCCAGGCAGGAAAGTCTGAGAACCACCAGAAAACCAGAAGTGGCGCTGTGGCTCAAGTGGTAGAGCGCCCACCTTGAGCTAAAGAGCTGAGGGACAGCAGCCAGGCCCTGAGTTCAAGCCCCATGACAAAAAGAAAAAAAGGCAATAGTAACAGTCCTGTGAACGCCGAGGACATTGAAGTCGGGTGAGATCTCGCAGCAGAGACATCCACGTAGACGGCCGAGTGAGTTCAGAGCCACCCGGGCCGTGCCGCGGCCCTCCCAAGGGCGAGGGAACGCAGGCCCCGTGCCCAGGCCTCCTGGGGTCTGTTCCTCGGCTCAGTCTGAGTTGGGATTGCTCATCTGGAAGTCACAGCTGGCTCCTGAAGTTGGGACAGCTGCACTGACGGCTGCCCCCCTCCCCCGCTTCCTCTGCAGGAGGTGAGGCTCCCCGGGAGCACCGGGACTGGAAGAAACGGAAACTGGATCCACCCTGAGGCCCAGGCTGGACAGGCGCCACCTCGAGGGGACTGGAAGACACCTTTGCCCAGGAAGCCACTGGCCATAGCCCGAGACTGACCGCTCCTCACCGAGCCTCGCCCAGGCCCGGGTCAGGGCGCAGAGAGCCAGCCCCCCCTCCGCCCCCCCTCCCCGATCCCCCCCCCCCCCCCGCAGCGAGCAAGCCTGCCTCTGTCCCTAAGCTGTTGTGTGAATAAAGACGTCTTGGGAGCAGCGGCTGTCCATGCGCGCGCAGGCCGGCCCATCGCGTCTCCCTGTACTGCGCCTGCTCCTCCCCCACCCCGGCCTGCCTGCACCCCTGCGGTGCCAGGCCTCCTCCCGGGTCCACGTGCTCCATCGGTGGAGGCAGGTCTGGTTTGTGCTTTGGGGCCAACACACAGCCTGACCCACGGGACAGCACGCCTGGGCGGCTGCCACCCAAGTGACCGACGGGACCTCCGCATGGCCAGGCCAGGCGCCACTGTGGGCAGGAGTGTGTGGCTTCACCCCCGGCCCCAAACACCAGGCCCCAGCCCAAGAAAAATGCAAGCTGCAGTCACACGCCTCACACCTGCAGTCCCTGCTGCTCAGAAAGCTGAGATCTGACGCGCAGAGCGCAGAGTTTGACGCCATCAGGCAGGAAAAGCTGGAATGTAGATGTGGCTCAAGTGATAAAGCACTAGCCTTGGGCAAAACTCAAGACAGCACTGAGGCCCTGAATTCAAGCCCCTGGACTTGCGAGTCTGAGCTGGAGATTTCTGGCTGCAACTCTGGGAGGGGAGCATGGGTGGACCAGCACCCACATCTCACGAGCAGCGACATCCTGGAGCAGACGCTGGCGGCGGCAGCTGCTTCGATTCAGAGTGGGGACCAGCCTTAGCATTGTGCTCCCCGTGTTCCACCCTTCTGTTCATGGTGCCATGGCATGGGCTGGCCCCGGGTCACAGCCCTGCGGCCCGGCCCGCTCCTGGGGGGAAGAGGCAGATGGCGGCTGGAAACGAACAGGAAAGCCCGCAGCTCCACAAAGGCAAGTCGGCTTTATTTGAATGGTTTCATTAAATAAAGTCTACAAAGGTAACAAACCATAGCACGAAGCGCAGCTTACAAGAAGCGCCACACCCGGAGTTAGTGCAAAATGTACGATAACGGCGGCTGAGGTTCCCGAGGCGCGGATTCAGTTTGTTTAAAAAAAACAGTGTACATTGTTAAATAATGTAAGGAAACACCCGGAATCGAGAAAGTCCTTTTTAATGTGGAAAAGATACTCAAACTGTCCTAGTAACACAAAAATAATTTAATCAGTTCAGTAGCACTGGCTCGTCCCGAGGAGCCCCACGCGGGGAGAGGCCGCGGTGCGGGAGCCGTCACACTCCCCTCGGCCTCTGCCGCTCGCCACATTCTTGTTGCGGGCCTCGCGCTGGCCAGTCCCCGAGAATGACAATCCCACCACGTGGGCCACTCGCTGCTTTTTCCACGAAGGGAAAGGTGGAAAACGGCAACAACTTTCTAGCTAAGTCGGAGGAGTGGAAACTGGGTGCCAGCTGCTCCCCCCAGCCCTCGAGGAGGTTGAGGCGCAGCACGGTGAACACTGGCGGGTTGCGGTTACTGCGGGGATGGAGGGGCGGCCATCTGGACGTCGCGGACAGGGCAGGCATGGGAAGGCCTGGGGCACGGTGCGGCTGGGACACGCGCCCGCCGGCCCTGGCCCCTCCGAGCTACCCTGGCCCCTTGGAGCCACCCTGGCCCAGGCTCTCACCTGATACACGCACTGCCCGCCCTCTGCCCACCCCGCCCCGCTCCCACCTGCTCAGGCCGCCGCCGGGTCACCACCTCCGTGCCCCTGGGGTCTGGGATGTGGCTGCTGCTCGGGACGGGGGCACCCCAAGTCCAAGGCACTGAGATCCCCAGCAAGCAGTACTGGGAGAACACAAGTATTCAAGTGCGGTGATTTATACAATTTTACATTCACATTTATTCTTCTAATACAATGGAGATACAAAGGAAAAGTTAAAGCGTCTGGTGAGGAGAGCTCGCTTTCTGTGAACCTTTGAAACCTTTCACACTTCACTCTCTCAAACTACTGTTGTCCAACAACATTGTATCACAGTGTTTCCTCGTCGCGCGACAGCACTAGTGACCTACGGGAGAGGCGGCCGCGCCCTGCTAGTTTTTACTGGGTGTGGGGAGGAGGGGTGGGGCCGAGGTGTGCGGGTGGGTGACCCCAAGGCTGGTCCACCCCCACCCCACCCGGAGCGCAGACAGGAAAGCTCAGCGGGGCACCCACCACAAGAAAGCTGCTCCTTCCTGCCTCCCACAGGTGGAGGGAGGAGGAAGGTTCTGGCGGGGCTCAGGATGAAGTGAGCACATCCCCGCGCGGGCGGGGAGCCGGCGGTTAGTGCACGCCCTCGGCCCGCGTCTCGGGGCGTGCTAGGTGGTCCGCAGGTTGGAGCCGGGGGGGTTGCTGATGGACTTCTGCAGACTGCTCATGTTGAAGTTCTGCAGGGACGTGGTGCCCACCGGCTGGAACTGGCCGAGCGGCTGCGGCGCGGGGCCGGCCGTCCCGCTCCACTGCGTGCCAAACGGCGCGGCCGGGAAGCCGTACTGCTGCGGAGGGCACATGGACTTGGTGAAGTGGCCCAGAGACGTGGCAGAGGTGGCGGAGATGGGTGCCGAGCTGCCCAGGCTGGAGGCCATGGAGATGCACAGCTGCCCGGGGGCCGAGAACTTGCGCGCCATGCCGGGTCCCTGGAACGAGAGCACAGCGCGGGTGGGCGCGGGGCGGTGGAGGGCCCGACCTGGGGAGAGCCTCTGGTGATCCCACCAGGGGGGATGGGCCACGCGTGGGGAGGGGGCGGTGCCTGGCCGCAGGGCTCGGGGTGGGAGGAAGGGCGCTGCGCGGGCCGCACGCAGCCCGGGAGCCAGGCAGGCCGCCCAGGCAGCGCCGCTTCCACCTCGCTTCTGCCTAAAGGGTTCACAAGCTGGGGTGCGGCCAGGGGTGGGGAGGGGCATTCACCTCGTAGTTCATGTGGCCTTTGCTGCCCCTCCGGCCCGAGAGGTTCATGGCGTCGCGGGCCCAGTTGTCCACCAGCTTGTGCAGGTCGTCCGTGAACGTGCCCTTCCTGCTGGACGTCATGGCGGGGGGCTGCGCCTGCGCGGCCTGGCTGCTCGTGGCGCCCCCGACCGTGTTCGTACTGCTGGTCCCTAGAGCGAGCAAGGCGGTGTTAGGAGGCGCTGGGGTGCACCTCCAGAAAGGGGGGTCAAGGGGGGTGAGCAGCAAGCCACAGAATGGGGAGGGAAGTGGAAGCCATGCAGCAAGGACGAGGCGCTGCTCTGGCCTAGGAGGAGAGGGGGTGAGGCTCCAGGGAGAATTGGGGGCACACAGCAGGAGCCAAGACTGGGGAACCTTCTGGAAGCACCCTTGGGGTGCCAGGCCTCAGGCAGGGCGGGGCACAGGTGTTGCCCCATGTCTCCGTGAGCCACAAGCCTAGACAAGGCTGGACGGGACGGCTGCCCGTCCCCGGGAGCCGGCTCCCTTTTCCCATGGGAGCCGAGTCAGCTGGCGCAGGGGAGACCCCTCCCCCCAGAGGAGGGGAGGCGGCTGGGCAAGGGAGGCGGGCGCAGGAGGGAGGGAGGGTAGGGAGGGAGGGCGCGGGGAGAGGGTCCTGCCTGATTTCGGCTCAGCCGGAGGACACACTGAAGGTTATCGGAGAGGCGAGTTTCCGGAAAGAGGGAGAGAAGAGTCACGGTCTCATTCCCCCCCTTGTCCCTCAAGTCCCTACAGTTCCAGATCTCACACCCGCGCCCAAGCGTATAAAAGCTGTGCTTACGCGGGTGAGCCAGGGAGGCCCGCCGTGCCGGGAGGCCGGGGCCAGGTGAGTGCATGCATGCTCCCATTCCCAAGGTCAAAGCAGCAGCGCCCCTTGCACGCGCGGCAGGGGGAGCAGGGCACAAGCGTGTGCGACGCGGGCGGGCGGAGGGCTGCGAACCATGCCGTGGCCAGCGTGTGCAGTCTGCGTGGCAGTCTGCGCGACGGCGAGGGTGGGCAGGCGCGGGGTGTGGGGCATGCAGGGCGCGGGCGCCACCACGCAGCATGCTGGGTGCGCGGGCGATGCACACACAGGAGCAGCACAGGGCTCAGGCCAGCCCCGTGCCGTGCGGGGAGCGGGTGCGGGGAGGACCCCCTTGGCCTCGCCTCTCCTGAGCTGCTTGCTCCCCATGCAGTGAGTGCGCTGCCCCCCCCCAGCCAACCAACCCCTCCTACCGGAACTGACTAGGACACGGACAGGGCGGGAGAGGGCCCAGAGGCTCCCCAGGGCCGCAGACCGCACCCCAAGCCCTGCTAGTTCCCCGGAAAATGTCCAAGTAGCAGAACGGACTGGAGTCCAGCCTCCTGACCCTCCCCATGGCCTGAGTGGCCGGCTAGGCCCTGTCTCAAGGTACGGAGTGCTCTTGTTAACTCTCTCCAGAACCTTCTAAGCTGCTGCAGGAGGCCAAGCCAGGAGGTGGGGAGCCCCTCTCTCCAGCCAGCCCAGCACCCCCTTGCTAGCTGAGGGCGCTCCCCTCAGCCAGGCCCCTCCCCTCCGCTCCTCTCCGCTCCCCTCCGCTCCTCTCTGCTCCCCTCCGCTGCCCTCTGCTCCCCTCCACTGCCCTCTGCTCCTCTCTGCTCCCCTCCACTGCCCTCTGCTCCCCTCCGCTGCCCTCCGCTCCCCTCCGCTGCCCTCCGCTCCTCTCTGCATCCGCGTGCCCACGGGCCCATCCGCCATCACAGCCAGCAGTAGCCCCCAGCACAAGGATGGATATGAGAACAGGTGCGGGGGTGGGGGGAGGGAAGTGGGGAGTCAGGGAGTTGGGGCGTCAGAGATGACAAGGCTTTACGACCAAGGCCCAAAAGTAAGAGAAAGAAAAGATAATTACTACAGAGCTGGTTGCAAGGACACACTTTTTTCACCATCTTCCCTGAAGCACAAAGAGAGAGCAGCGTTACAGATGAAGGCACACGGGACATCTCCACGCTGCGCACGGCGCGCACGCCCAGCAGGAGCGTGGGGGGGGGGGGGGGGGGGAGACGACACGCGGCCACGCGGCCCGGCCGGCCCTGGGTGAAGGCTCGCCACGCGCATGTCCACTGACCATCCCTCCACCCGCTCCTGCTGGGCGTCACAAAGCACTCGCGTTAGTACCGCCGTGACAGCTTCAAGTCACACTCAACGCTTTAGTTCCACGCTGCGGACAAACATCCTAACAACCTCCCCCCCCCCCCCCCCCCCGCCCCGAAAGCACTTTAAAAGTATGTGGAAAGCAAGCCATCTTTGAACGTAGAGAGAGCGTGAAGCCAAGCCGTGCTTCGGGGCCAGTGCGGGCCAGCGAGCGTGTAGGGGAGTCACACCCCGCCCCGCGCGCGCGTCGGCCGGCCGCCCCGCCCTGCCTCTGCAGAGACACCATCTCCCCGCCATACCCGCTGCGCTGCGGAGACCCACCCAGCCGCAACACCACCGCTGAGCGCTGCTCAGGCTCCAGCCCTCCCCTGATGGACGGACAGAACCCACGCAAGTGGTACTTGGGACGCTTTGCTTTCTTTCTGCCCCTCAGCTACTGCGGTCCTTCCGTGGGCCGCCCGCCCGCCAGTGCCGGGTCAGCCGGTGGGAGCAAGGCCGCCGGCCGGGCCTCAATGAGGCAGGAGTCGCGGGAGGGGCGCAGACCATGCTGCCCAGGCGCTGCCCCCAGGGGCCTCCCGGCCCCTCTGTGGAGATGGCCATGTACCACTGGACACCAGTCACCACGGAACACCACGCTGCCATTTCTCCCCAAGGACCCGGCACGATGGCCTGGCACATGCACAGGAAGCGCGCAGTAACCACGCCAGAAGTTTGAGGCCTTATGAGACCGTGATCCACACTCCCATGAAGGTTCATTCTTTACTTAACTTTTTCATTTTTAGGTTTTTTGGGGTGCCAATCCTGGGGCTTGAACTCAAGAGTCTGGGTGCTGTCTCTGAGCTTATTGGCTTAAGGCTAGTGTGCTCTACCACTTGAGCCACAACTCATTTCTGTGTTTTGGTGGCTCATCGGCGATGAGAGTCTCACAGATTTTCTTGCCCTGCTGGCCTGGCTTTGAACTGTGATCCTCTAGGAGGACAGGCGAGAGCCACCGGCGCCCAGCGCTGTACTGTCATCTTCTTTCAGCCTGTGTGTACCAACCACCTACTGGGCAGCCTGGAGCGCCTCCTAAGTGCCAGCGGGTTCTGTACTCAGCGTCTGCTCTGGCCTGTCTGCAGCTGGGGGGGGGGGGGGGGGGGGGGGCGCACACCCAGGAGGGCAGGCCAGCTTGCTCCTAGGAGAAAATCTCAGCAGTTTTCACATGGGCTTAGACCTTTAACAGGTAACTGCTTGTCAAGAAAAGCACGCCAAAAACCCTGTTTGAATTACTAATCTCACAGGGGCAGAGGGAAGTAGTGGTGGAAGAGCCACACCTCCACTTCCTTCCAACTCTTTGGAGGTGAAATGGAGATAGGAGTCCCACAGACTTTCCTGCCGGGCTGGCTTCAAACTGCGATCCTCAGCCTCCTGAGTAGCTAGAATGGCAGGTGTGAGCCGCGGGCACCAGGCTCCAGCATCAATTCAACTGGTACAGGTGAAAGCTTAATCGAGGAAAAAAATACCCAAACAAACAAAGATTTCAACTCACTCAGAAAATAAGGGTAAGTTCTGCCTGTTACCAGACTCTTAAGCACACCAGGAGTCGGTTCCAAACAAGAGGGGGGGGGGGGGGGGGGGAGCACCGAGCAGGCCCGCACAGCAAGCACCCTGCCACCTCTGGCTGTCTGGAGCCCAGGAGGCAGCAGTCCTGCAGGGTGCCATGTCTGCAGCTTTTACGAGTGAACCCAGGACCCAAACTTCTGAGGGTACTAATAGCCAAGCCACTGAGTGGATGACATAACGAGACAAATGAAAATGACTGCACGACAAGTCAGATCCAAAAGCAGCAGAAAAACACGGACAAGGAAGGATAAAGGTGTTACACACAAAGAGCCAAGCAGGGCGTACTCAGAAATCGGGTCCTCCTGCCACCGGCCTTGAACGCCACCTGCTCAGACGCACAGTTAAACTTCGCACAGCCTGTGAGAAGGGGAACAGGGAAAAACAGAGAGAGAGAGAGAGAGAGACAGAACACAACTACAAGATGTTAGAAACTGGAGGCGGGCGCGGTGGAAGGCACTCAGATGGCACACACAGCGAGCCCGGCGGGTGACATGGAGCGGCAAACACAAGCCCAGCCGCCGCCTGCCCAGGCTGACGCTTCGCTTTGCTTCTGCGCTGGTCCTTGTCAACCAACTAGATTCACCTGGTAAACAGGACAACCTACTTCTAGGTTCTATCAAACTGTGGCAAAGAAAAGTTGTTTTATTTCATTCTTTTCCACCTAGATGCCCAACTCTTCAGGTCTAACTCTAATGTGACTGTTTTCAGCGACAGTTGACAAAGCCAACCTCTACTGTGAGAGACAGATAGATGCTTGGCAGGTACAACTAGTTCTCTGCACAGCACTCCCTTATTTACAAATTTTAAAGAAAACACCTTAGTTTCCAGAAATTGCTAGAAACTCCTTAGAAGGTGGTCCTGGAAGTGTCTGACTACTATTAAAGGCTAAGTTCCAACCCCAAGTAAGTTCTTCATCTAATCCCCAGAAAGAAGCCCTATCATGAGTGCTCAGAACCATAAGCCCGAAGGTTCTAGCCTCAGCCCGGTCTCCGGTGGAGTCCAGAGCCGGCTCCCCCCACAGGCAGGCAGGTGTGTTCTGATGAGCTGGTGACACGAAGTTACTACTTATCCAGCTGTCATCCTGGGCATTTCCATGTTTCTGGAAGGTGGTGGTTGCTGTGGTTCTTTTACCTTGACCTGGCGCAGCAAGGCTTGGTACAGAGATGGCGCCATCGCTGGTGAAAGCTGAGTAGAGGTTGTCACTGGAGGGAGAGGGCTTCAGAGGCTGGAGCAGCTGGCTGTGGCCCGTCTCGGAGGTGTTGCTGGTGGGGTGGAGGGTCTGCTGCGGGTGCAGGACGGAGGCCCCGCTCTGCCCAGACAGGTTCCCTGCCACGGGTAAAGGGCCGTGAGAGGCGCGCCCGGCAAGCCCACTCCCACGCCGTCCATTCACAACGCGGAATAGTGAAGGACGGGTCAACGGCCTGGGTGCTGAGGAGGGGGAATGTCCTGAGCGTGACGCGACGCGAGGGAGAGCTGAGATTTTACACTTTAGCTACTTAAGAGGGAGCACAGGCGTGAGCTGAGGGAGGCTGGACAGGACGCTGTGTGTGGATGAAGAACCCCATTCGCACGTGCATGATCACGTGTTTTGGCCTGAAACCTGACTGCACTTGCGCATTCCCTGGACTCCCACTGCACACAAGTGGGCTTGAAGAGCGTCGCATGCGTGTCAGAACCTAAACTAGCTGACCCTGCAACAAATCACTTCATCAATGCTATACGAACCGGTCGTGTGCTCAAGCAAAGTCAGGTCTGGGCACTGATTCTTCCAAGAATGAAGAGAAGACTCAGCATTTGCTATGAGCTTTGCAAATACTCTCCAACTTTCTGAGATCAGACCGGCAAATGAAACAGACATCCGGAGTGTCTGTGTGGTCTTTGTGTATACTTAATTCTAGCTGCCAGGATGACCTGAAGCTTAGTGAACAGCCAGTAAGGTCCAAGAGCTCTGTTAGGCTGAGTTACATGGGTTAGTTATCTAGAACGACTACAAATGAGGATTACTGGGACACAACAGCATGGACGCCGCACAGCTACCCTACTCAACTCTCTGTAGGGTCAAAGGGCAGCCCTGGAAGGGCTAGTGAGGCCCTATCTCAACGCCCATACAGCTAACAAACTTGGGAGTAGGAGGAGGGTTACCTTGCGCAGCTGGAGACAGAAGCAGCAAGTGGCTGCCTTGGTCGGGCTTACCTGAGAGCTGCGGGCTCTTATTCCCCAGTGAGCTGCTGCGACTCGACTTGCTGCCTTTGCTTTTAGTGGGCCGCCTTCTCCTGCCCGAGAGCGGGGCGGCGGGGGGGAATGATGACGGCAGGGGGCACCTTGCCCAGTTTGGTGTACAAACATTCAATCTCCTGCTTCTGGCGACTTTGCAGGTCCTGAATCTCTTTAAGATGTCTATGAAAAATAAGCAAACATAGAAAATGTTTTAAGCAAAATGTTTTGCTTTGCTCAAACAAAAAGTAAGCCTGATTTTTTTTTGGGGGGGGGGGGGGATCAGTTGTGGGGCTTGACCTCAGGGCCTGGGTGTGTTTTGAGTCTCTGAGCTCAAGGCCAGCACTCTACCACTTGAGCCACAGCACCGATTCCACTTTTTGAACGGTTAATTGGACATAAGAGACTGATGAGGACTTTCCTGCCCAGGCTGGCTTTGAACCACAATCCTCAGCTCTCAGATCTCCTGAGCAGTTAGGATTATAGGGGTGAGCCACTGATGCCTGGCTAAAAATAAGCATACTCTTCAATCTGCCTTCAGTCATCTGTACTTCTGTCAACCCATCTTGCCAATTCCAACTGCGAACAGTTGAGAATGGGTGAGGAGAAAAGGATTCCCAGGCCATAGGTGAATAGGATATTCTGACTCAATTTGATTAAAAAATAAAAATAAAAACCTGCCAACATAGTTACACACGCAGTGCCAGTGTTAGACTCATGTGGTAGACTTGACGGCCACAGAGGGTACGGTGCGCGAGCGCGGCCGTGGCGAGGGGCTGGGCGAGTGGCGTCCCAGCACGGTCGGCGGGCACGCCGCCTCCAGCTCGGAGGAACACCACGTCAGCACCAGGCGCTCTGCCCCAGTAGACCATCGGCCATTATTTTTCTTAGGAGCAAACATACTTTTCCCGAAGTCGCCGGAGCTCTGACTTTAAATCTTCATCTTCAATGTCCGATTCGTTGTCACTGCTCATGTAAGAGGAGTTGAAGGAGTTGCTAAGGCTCTGGCTTAGACTCTGGATGGGAAGGCTCTTGGAGCAGAGGTGAGGCGGGGACTGCGGGCTGCCTGAGCCGTCGTCCAGGCCCCTGCTGAGAAAGGCAGCCTCCAGGTCGGAGGATGGCCCGTTCAGATGTAAAGGCTGGGCCGGCTCCGGCTTGTCTTTCTTTGGTATGGCGGTGGGAAGAGCAGCGTGTGCAGAGTCTCTGAAGGGAGGAGATGCGGCTGACTCCTGCTTCACCTCTGCCATCTTGTCCTCAGTTCTCGACACTGAGAAACGACCCACTTTGCTGGCTGTAGCTGTCACCTGAAAACGCCCGACCTTGGTGGGCTGCCCCGCTTCCAGCGTTGTTTCTGAGGCGGGGGGTTGGTGGGCGCTGTCTGGAGCATCCGAGGGGACCCCGGGGGCTGGCACCCCGCCAGGCCCTGGCTGCACCAACGTGCTCTCTGGGCTGCTACTCGACAGTACGGATGACTCCGACGTGCTCGACTCAAAGTGGACAGACTTCACATCTTCTGGCTTAGTTTTGCCAACTTTCTGGACATCATCTGTGGCAACTGAAACCTGAGTTGAGAGAGACAGACAGACAGATTAAAAACTACTGTCCCCAAGTTAATTTCTAGCATAGGTTGTTAAACAAAAGAAAACCAGTTTATTCTCCGGTAAATGAACAGGCTGAATCTCTCTCCATAGTCTGAGAAAATTTTCAACTGAGAAAGCCAGACTGAACTCCACCACAGAGAGAGTGCGTGCTGAGCAAACAGGCTGCGTACCACGGGAGAAAGCAGATGGAGGACGCCACAGGAGAAGCAGGCACCGCGCTGGGTGGGAAAGGAGACTGTTCACTGGGAACCCAGCAGCAGCACCAAGATGCCCACCACACACAACGCACCACACACAGGGACCAGGCTGCACCTCAGTGAAAACATACGCAACGGCCAGGAAAATGCTGAAGGCTACGTGTGAAGAAGCAGCCCTCACTAAATGCCAGCTAAGCCTCAAAAGAAACAATTCAACCAAGAGGTACCAGAAGGGAAGATACAGATTCTTGTCCTGGTTTTCCATAACTCTAAATTCAAACTTGGCCCAACTACAAACTCTCAGACCTTCAAAGTCAACAAAGGAAAAATTATCAACTATGATTCCCAACTCTACAAGCTAGCTCAAAAATAACTTGTAGAGCGGGCACTGGTGGTTCACGCCTGTCATCCCAGCTACTCAGGAGGCTGAGATCTGAGGATCACGGTTCCAAGCCAGCCCGGGCAGGAAAATGAGACTTTTTTCTCCAATAAACCACTAGAAAACTGAAAGTGGCACTGTGGCTCAAGTGGTAGAGCGCTCACCTTGAGCTGAAGAGCTGAGGGACAGCGCCCAGGCCCAGAGTTCAAGCCCCACGACTGACAAAAAACAAAAAAACAAACAAACAAAAAAATAATAATTTGCAGGGGCTGGGAAAGTGACTCAGTGGAAGAGCGCTCTCCTTGAACTGAAGAGCTCAGGGACAGAGCCTAAGCCCAGAATTCAGGTCCCACAACCAAACACACGCACGCACACGCATACACACACACACACACACACACCCTTGCAAACAGTTGTGGAAGCGGTGCTGTTTTGTCCTAGGGCTTGATCTCAGGGCCTAGCTGCTGTTCTTGAGCTTTTTTGCTTGAGACTAGTGGTCTATTACTTAAGCCACAACTCCACTTCTGGCTTTCTGGTGGTTGATTGTAGGCAAGAGTCATGGACTTTCCTGCCCAGGCTGGCTTTGAACCAGGATCCTCAGATCTCAGCCTCCATAGTAGCTAGGATTGCAGGTGTGAGCTACCAATGCCTATGTTTTGTTTTTGTCAGTTGTGGCGCTTGAACTCTGAACCTGGGCGCTATCCCTGAGCTCTACCACTGGAGCCACAGAACCACTTCTGGTTATCTAGTGGTTTACTAGAGGTAAGAGTCTCGTGGACTTTCCTCTTTGGGCTGGCTTTGAACCATGATCCTCAGATCTCAGCCTCCTGAGTAGCTAGGCTTACAGGCTTGAGCCATTGGTGCTTGGCTACACTACTTTTATGAAAGCAAATGACAGTTATCAGTTGTGTCCCAAATAGAGAGGCAATAATCTTACATATACACAGAAATTATAGTCTTACCTGAAATCGCCCCATCTTAAGAACAGCAGCTCCTGAACCACTGGCTAGGACAGAACCCTCTGTGCCTTGAAACAGACACAGAAGAAGACAGATTAGCGCTTTTTTTTTTCTTTAGTTAGCTGCTTTCCTCCCGCTAGAGAAACGAGAGTAAGATTTTACTTAATCCATTTATTTATTTATTTTTTGGTCAGTTGTGGGGCTTGAACTCTGGGCCTGGGCGCTGTTCCTCAGTTCTTCAGCTCAAGGCTAGCACTCTACTACTTGAGCCACAGCACCACTTCTGGCTTTTCTGCTTATGTGGTGGTGAGGAATTGAACCGAGGGCCTCATGCATCCAAGGCAAGCATTCTACCACTGAGCCACCTTCCCAGCCCCAACCTCACCATATTTTTACCTAGGTGGGTCTCAAACTGTAAGCCTCTAGGCTTTTTTGCTTCAAGCTAGAGCTTTGCTACTTGAACCAAAGTTCCATTTCTGGCTTTTTTAGTGCTTAATTGGAGATAAGACTCTCTGGGGCTGGGAAGGTGGCTCAGTGGTAGAGTGCTTGCCTTGAATGCCTGAGGCCCTGGGTTCGATTCCTTAGCACCACATAAGCAAAAAGAAAAAAGCCAGAAGTGGCTCTGTGGCTCAAGTGGTAGAGTGCTAGCCTTGAGCTGAAGAGCTGAGGGACAGCGCCCAGGCCCAGAGTTCAGGCTCCACGACCAGACGACCCCCCCCCCCCCCAAAAAAAAAAAAGACTCTCAAGGACTTTCTTGCACTGGTTGGCTTCAAACCATAGTCCTCAGATCTCAGCCTCTTGAGTGCTAGGATTATAGGCATGAGCCACAAGCACCAAGCTGTAAATTACTTGTTTTTAAACAAGCGATCCAATTCAGAATGTAACTGACTTGAATTAAAATATTTCAGCCAGGCACTGGTGGCTCATGCCTATGTAATCCTAGCTACTCAGGAGGCTGAGATCTGGGGATCACAGTGCAAAGCCAGCCCGGGAAGGAAAAGTCCATGAGACTCTTATCTCCAATAAACTACTCAGAAAACCAGAAATGGAACTGTGGCTCAAGCCTTGAGCTGAAGAGCTGAGGGACAGGGCCCAGGCCCAGAGTTCAAGCCCCACGACTGACAAAAAAAAAAAAAAAATCAATGGATTAAGTAAAATCTTACATGTGTATCTTTATACAAGTCCATGTCCAGGCCTTTCAAGTGCATCTATCTATCAAGTACATAGCAAGTGTTCAGAAATGAGGACGCTGAGTGTAAACTCTCCAATGACAGGTTTCAGGCATGTACCACCAACTCCAACTTCCAAGTCAGCTTTCATAAACATGCTAGCATTTCCCACCTCCTTCTAACAAAAATGTTACCTAGAGAATAACAGTTTCTTATGCTAAGAAACTGAATCATTACCTGACGTTTCAGATGCCTTAGCGCTTAATAAACAAAAAATTCAATCAGCTAACCTTGCATGCTTTAGCTATTATCAAAGTTCCCTAGACATGGAATATGGAGGAATGTTCCTTGTACATCTTAACTGCACCCACGTTCTCAAGAACGCATCTCTGAAATGGCACATTCTGTACTTCCCACAAGCACCCACAGAGTCTGAACGCCCAGGCGAGCTCTTTATCGTGACTGCTCTCCTGGTCAGCGCCAAGGCTGCAGCTCACCGTGCTCCTGAGGCTGCGGGCCAGCTTCCGTAACCGCGGGCGGAGCCTCTACAGACACTGGCTGCAAGACACAGACACACACCACAGCAGCTTCAGTTTCAGTCATTCTTACGCCGTTCCGCTGACACCGTCCCTCAGGTCTTTGTGTAATGGCAGTTGTATACAGAAAAGAATACTATGTCGAAGGGAATTTTATTTTCTCTTACAAGTTTGCTTTTGAGAAGCACCTTTTTTTGGGGGGCAGGGGGAGAGGCCAGTCCTGGGGCTTGAACTCAGGGCCTACGTGCTGTCCCTGAGCTTCTTTTGTTCAAGGCTAGCACTCTACCACTAGAGCCACTGTGCCACTTCTGGCTTTTTCTATGTGGTGCTGAGGAATCAAACCCAGGGCTTCATGCTAGGTAAGCGCTAAGCTACATTCCCAGCCCCAACAATCAGCTTTTATGAGACATGTCGAGTATTGCCTTTAAAAATTTCCTCACAGGATATTTAAAGAATACATTAAAAAGTCACAGAAAAGTGGTTTGTATCAAACATTATTATTGCACAAAGCATAACCTCCTCCAGAGAATAATACAAAATCCACAGGACTGATCTACAATGTAATCTACCGAGGGGAAAGATTAAAAAAAAGAAGCATCTTTCTAGTCTTTTCCACAGTGTTAGCATTTTACAGGTCTGCCTCTTTTCTGTTGGGTGGAACAAGCTCTCTTGTTCCACCACATAGGTGTGAGCGATACAATGCGTTTGGGGTTCAGAAGAGACTGGGGACTAAACGCTTACCCCTCCTGCAGACGCCACTGTGATGCTCTCTGGACTAAGTGTTCTTCTCAGCTGGGCATCAAGGTCTTCTAGAGGTTGCTGGAAGGGCAAAGAGTTACAGTTCATGTAAGTACACCTCCAGAGCTGCTACATGCAGCCTAGACATATAGGACACACTGTTTCATTCTTTAGATTACAACAGAACATGTGTTCCCATTAAATACAAGATAGTATACTAAAATTTGGCATAACCTTTTGATGGTCCTCAAGTCTGCATGCCACTCTGTCAGGCCTTAAGAGTAACTCAGTGACACTTACGTTTTCACAGCTTTGAAGTTACCCTTATCTTTGAGAGGCAATGCTGGTGTTAGGGCCTCAAGTGCTCTACCATGGGGCCATGCCCCCAGCCCTTCCTGTCTTGTATCTGATGACCCCTGTGCCCATCTGCCGTCTTCTGTCCATCTATTTCTATACTGGTCCTCACGCTTTTGTCTAAACACGCTGGCACGACTCCCTCACCCTCCATGCTTCCTGTGACCGTCTGCACTCACCGAGAGCTCTTTTAGGGGGAAGAGGGGAGTGGTGGTGGTCATGGGACCCCACTGTGTCGCCCAGGCTGGTCTACACTTCTCACACGGGGGCTGTTCCCAGCCTGGCCTCCCAAGCGCCAGGATCACCGTGCAGCCAAGTGCTTGGCTTCGGAACGCGTGCTGTTTTTTCTTTTTTGGTGGCACTCAGGTTTGAACTCCGAAGCCTCATGCTTGCTAGGCAGGTACTTTACCAGTAGAGAGACCCTGGCGGCCCTTTTACTTTCATTATTTTTTGAGTAGGGTCTCCTGTCTTTCCCTAGGCTAGACTGCAATAGTCCTAATTCAAGCCTCCCGATAGCTGGAGGGACGGGTGCAGGCCTTGAACCTTCTGATCTACCTCCCCAGAAGCTGGGATTATAAGCATGAGCCACTATGCTATGCTGCAAGCCTGATTTTCGTTAGGAACAAGCTTAAAACCAAACGCTCATTTTTTGTTAGTTTTTACATTGAACTCCCATCCCACTCCCATCTCCCTCAATCTGAGGGCTGGAGAGTGAGTTCTCACTGGGAATTATCCCTGACAGTAGCGAGTTCTTCACCTTACGATCTATTCGATACTGGGATGGAAGAAGAAGGGATAAATTCAAACTAGTCTTCTCAAGTAAGTAGCCCGGCATGCTTTTCTTACATGTAACTCCAAAATAAATTCCTAATTCAGTTTTAAAGTTTATTAGTGGGTCCCATGTTAACTCTCTCACAGTTACAATGGATTTCCAACAAGCACTTCCCCTATGGAAGCTGTCAGTGAGGGGAACAGGTGAGCAAATGAAGTCATGATTTCAGGACTACATGAATTCTGATCACCTCGGCAACTCCATAAGCGTGAGCAGGGGATCTATAAGTTCATATACTGCTCATCTCAGATCCTTTATGAGTAATATTATAATGCTAGCATTCACTGGAGTGTGTTATTTCTATGTAATTTTCATCAGTCCCTAACTTCGCTAGTTGCTTAATAAAAGAAACAATGAACATTCGTTAAAGTTTATGTTAAACTTAGAAAAGAGTCCTATCAATGCAGTTTCCTCCTTTTCAAACTGACCTTGCACCATGACCCAAGAACTGGGATTACAGCGGTACACCACCACACCTGACTTGTGGTTGTCTTTTCTTACTAAGTTTTATTACATAAAACTTCTTATTTCTGGGATAGCTTAGAAGCAAACCTTACATTTAAAATACAGTTTCACTATTCTATCAAGTAAGAAGCTGAGCACCAGAGGCTCATGCCTGTAATTCTAGCTACTCAGGAGGCTGAGATCTGAGGATCACAGTTCATAGCCAGCCTGGGCTGAAAAGTCCCTGTGAGATTCTTATCTCCAATTAACCACTCAAAAACCAAAAGTGGTGCTGTGGCTCAAGTGGTAGAGCACTCACCTTGAGCTGAAGAGCTCAGGGACAGCACCCAGGCTCAGAGTTTGAGCCCCATGACAAAAAAAAAAAAAAAAAATATATATATATATATATATATATATATATATATATATATATATATATATAATCTATTGATATTAGTATTAACTATTTAAACATTAGTCAAATGTTTTCTAGATGACCTGAAGCAATATTCTGGACAATAACAACAGAAAAACAGTGGGCCTGGGGCATCACCTGCCAAGTTGTCAAAGGAAGGTGTCTCTAAGCTAAAGCCACAAGGAGCCAGCCACGACCATGCCAGAGAGAATGTAAGCAAGCTCTGGGAAGGAGAGCAGGGACCAAGAAAGAGAGGTATGTGTCTCAGGGCACCTGAGTTTGTGAGGGTCCAGGAAAAGGCGGCAGCTGCTCGCAGGTCAGAGCCCCAGCTGGAAGTTCAGTGCCCCCTGGCAGCACCTACAACGGAGAGAATTCAAGTCCCTGAGATACTAATGGTCAAGATTCACATTACAAACCAGCCAATCTGAATGCAGAAACATGAACTATGTGTAGTTAAAGCTTGCTTATCACCCAGGCTACACTGATGTATTTTAAATAAAGGACTTAACCAATGGTACGTTGTAAGAGTTAATCTGAAATAACTATGAAATGGTGAAATCTAATAAAAGGTAGTTCCTGAAGGAAAACAAAGAGAACACTGCGTTACACAGATAAGAAACAGACTCCAGATTTCTTTTTGTTGGACAGTTGTGGGGCTTGAACTCATCAGGGCAGTGACCCTGAGTTTTTGGTTTTTTTTTTTGGTCGGCTGTGGGGCTTGAACTCTGGGCTTGGGCACTGTCCCTGCACTCTTCAGTGCAAGGCGAGAGCTCTACCGCTTGAGCCACAGCACCACTTCCGATTTTCTAGTGTTTAATTGGAGATGAGTCTCACAGACTTTTCTGCCCGGGCTGGCTTTGAACCATGATCCTCAGATCTCAGCCTCCAGAGTAGCTACGATTACAGGTGTGAGCCACTGGCGCCCGGCTACCCTAAGCAGTTTTTGCTCAAGGTTTCTGTTCTGCCACTCGAGCCACAGCGCCACTTCTGGTTTTCTGGTGATTTATTGGGAGATGAGAGTCTCATGGACTTTCCTGCCCAGGACTGCTTTGAACAGTGATCCTCAGATCTCAGTCTCCTAAGTAGCTAGGATGACAGGCATTAAGACACCAGGACCCAACGAGATATTTTTGAGGCCACTTATTTGATCTAAAAAAAAAAAAAAAAAAGAAATTGGGTGTCAGTAGCTCACATCTATAATCCTAGCTACTGAGCAATGCAGTTCAAAGCTAACCTGGGCAGGCAAGTCCATAAGGCTCTTTATCTCCAACAAATTACTCAGAAAAAGCCAGAAGGGGCACTGTGGCTCAAAGTGATAGAGCGCTAACCTTGAGCCAAAGAAGTGCATGGAGAGCGCCCAGAGTTGAAACCCCAAGACCAGCACACACACGCACACACATAATAAAATTAAAAAAATCAAATTCACATAAGAAAACATGACTTTCAAGAGAAAACAAAGGCTGACTTAAAAAAATAATCAATGGACAGATATAAATTCAAAACTATCAAGTGTTTTCTCTTCTGTCTGCAGTAAGACTTCACATAGATTGCCCTGACTTAGAGTAGCTCGACTTGAAAATGTTCTCAACTCAGGATGGTGCAAAATTACATTCAGTAGAAACCATAGATTAACTTTTTGTGTCTGAGTTGGAGGTCCAGCAATGAGCTTCTGAGTTTGGGTGCCAGTCTCCGCTGGCAGCACGCCGGGACCCCTGGAGCGGGGCTGGCACAGCAGGCCGGGCTGTCGGCAGTGCCTTCACAGGACAGCACAGCTCCCGCTCCACACTGCCCCGCGGTTCGAAGCTGCCGGGTCAGGGCCTATTAAGTGTATCAGTGCTGTCCTGGCTTACAATATCCTCCATTACTATGGTCTTGTAAAGTCAGGACACATCTGCATTACTCTAATATAAAAAGGTTTTCACATCTTCGTAATGCAGAAAGATGGCTGCATGAAATGCATCCTTGTTTCTGAGGCTTAGGAAGGCTGAGAGAGCAGAGAAGAGGAAATCCACCAGGGCAGAATGAGAAACTCCATGCTAGTTACGTACCTCTTCCTCCTCTCTACCACTTTCACCTTTGAGTGCCCATCCATCTCAAACAGAACTACTATGGAACCGAACAGCACAAAATGACTTCCGTCTCATCACAAACACAGCAGCTCAGCTAGCCGGGCGCCGGTGGCTCACACCTGTCATCCTAGCTACTCAGGAGGCTGAGACCTGAGGATCACGGTTCAGGGCCAGCCCTGGCAGGAAAGTGAGACTCTTATCTCCAAAACACCACTAGAAAACCGGAAGTGGTGCTGTGGCTCGAGTGGTAGAGCACTAGCTTTGAGTTGAAGAGCGCAGGGACAGCGCCCAGGCTTAGAGTTCAAGCCCCATGACAGACAAAAACAAAAACAGAGCAGTTCAACTACTCTCACCATGATCCCCTTGGCTGACAGACTCACAGCTGGTATAAACTAAGGAAAGCAATCATGTGACATAATTAATCTAAAATTCCTGCCATACTTCACAAAGGAAGTTCTGGGTTCAAAGTACGCGTGCTCTTTTTTTTTTTTTTTTTGGTCGATTGTGGGCATGAACTCTGGGTCTGGGCGCTGTCCCTCAGCTCTTCAGCTCAAGGCTAGTGCTCTACCACTTGAGCCATAGCGCCACTTCCGGCTTTTTCTGCTTATGTCGTGCTGAGGAATCGAACCCAGGGCCTCATGCATGCAAGGCAAGCACTCTACACTGAGCCACCTTCCCAGCCCCAGTACGCATGCTCTTACCACTATTGCCAGTTGAGGGCACTCAACATCTGTTAGGCACCTTCAGACCTGCAACTCTACCCTGCAAAGCAACTGGCCCAAGGCGTGGGCTAGGGCGAGGAAGTGAGGGAAGGGGCCCTCGGGTGGGCGTCAGAGAATCCTAACCAGAAAAGCTCACCGGAGGCTTAGCTGAAGGTGGCTTTGAGGGAGTCATCCCTGGTTTCATTCCCGACGTGGTGCTGACTGGGGCTGGCACGTAGCTGCTGGGGGTAGAAACCTGCCCGGGGGTGCCCACTGTCGTGAGCGGCAGACCCGCCGTTCCCAGCGGTAAGCTGGCTGGTGGCAGGCAGGTACTCGTCGTAGACGTCATGGGTTTGCTCGGTGCAACAGCGGTGGTGGGGACCCCTGGCGTGACCGTGGCCTCGGCCGCCAGTGACGTCTCCAGCGAGACGGGGGCGTGGGACGAGCCATGCTCGCTGAAGAGTGACCGCAGCTTCTCCTCCAGAGTCTTTATGTCATCGATGCCCGGAGCCTTTGGCTGCGTGTCGGCGTCCACGTCAGGACAGTGCGCGTGGGGCTGGCTGGGGAGCAGGGCTGGCTGGGGCTGGCCGTGGACGAGCGTCTGCTGCACGGCAGGCACGCTGGTGGCAGGCTGCAGCAGGGGCGGGACGCCGGGCACTTGCGGTAAGAGAGGCGTGCACGTCGGTGCGGCTGCTTGGGGAAGCACGGGCGTAGAAGCCACTGCGGATGGGAGGACCAGGGGATGCAGAGCAGCAGAGCCAGATGCTGCGGTCCCTGGGGAGGGCAAGGAGGAAGGCGCAGACAAAGGCACGGCCAACCCAGCTGTACTGCTATGTGACGGTTTGTCCAGGGAGTGGGCGCTAACCACCGCCGTTTCAGCCAGAGTCGGGGCGGAGGTGCTGCTGCTAAGCTGAAGGGGCGGCTGCGAGGCCGTGCTCGGGAATGGCACGGTGGCAGGAACCACAGGCGCAGCGCCCACCCCGGCAGTGGCCTGCGGCGGCAGCATGGCGGGAGGCCCTGGGCCAGGGGCGCTCGCACCGCCTGCTGCGGTGGTTACAGCGGTTGAAACTGTGACAGAAGGAAAAGCGCCTGTACTAGCAACAGTGCTCCCCGACACGGGGGCCTGAGACGGCTGCGCGGCTGTAGACACAGTGACCACGGGGGGCACTGTGCTGCTGGAGACCATGCCAGGAAGCGGCGGTGGCGGCTCCGACACAGACACAGGTGGGCCCGGGAGACCGCCGGAAGTGAGCACACCTGTGCTGGTGGGGACTCGGGCAAGTCCTTTGTCAGTGGGCACCGTGACTTCAGACTGAATCACTGCGGTGGAACTGTCAATAAGAGGGCTGCTGGTTACTGGGACTGACGCTGAAGGAGTAGCTGCTGCTGCGGCTGGGCCTCCAGGAACGCTACCCAGGAATGGAGGAAAGGCTGGTCCCGTGAGACTGAAGTTGGGAGGCGCTGTGCTGGGCCCTTCCGACGTCTGGGCATGTCTAAGCTCAGAAAAGGCCTGCTGGAGACTAAGGGAGGAGGCCGAGTGAGACAAGTTCATCCCAGGACCCTGAGACGCAGAGGCAGCAACTGCAGAGGAAAACCAAACACACACAACATGTAACGCATGCGCGTGTGAAACGTGCGCTATACACATACACACAACCCATTTTGAAAGGACAGATTCAAAGGACGTCCTATGAACTTATTTTTCTAATCAGTCACCAACAGAATCGCCTAGCATTAAATGCACACACTTGTCCCGAGGAAATGACATGCTCTAACACTGCAAAGTGTTTCTGGAAAACCATCAAGCACCAAGTAATGTGGAAGCGTTAAGAATTCCAAATGCAGAAGCTCACACGCAAGTCGACTGCGTATGTCGTTTCTGGGACGGCCGATTTCCTGCTCTCTTCTTTAGTCATCTCTATTGGCTATCTATTTCCTTCCTCCACATGTATACCTCAATTTTTATAATGTAATCTTTCCACTTTTTAAAAAAATCATTCATCATCATGAACTACCTCTTGATGATCAGCTCCATCGTAGCAGAGAGGCTGTAGAACTTACTGAAGTATGGCAGCATCAATCCTTACCTGTATCTGCTACTTCACTGGTGAAAATTTTTGATTCTCGTAATCGACTTTCAGGAACAGGGCTCACGATAAACCGTCTTCCAGCAGAATGAACAACTTGAGTTAAGGAACTGGTAGGAACCCCTGGACAAAATGAAACAAAACCGCTCAGTCGCATTATTGCATATGCTGTCCCCACGATGAAGCGTCAAGATAAACAACTTCTTATGTCAAAGGAAAATTCACCTATTTGCTGGGGCATGGAAGACACAGGAGTGGGTTGTTTGAACTCTCCTTCCAATTTCTACAATAGATAAAAGTAATAAAAGTAATAAATTCATTCCCAAAGGCAACCTCCGTGATTAGGCAATGACATGACAGTGCGAACAGAACATGAGTGCTTGGTCCCGATGACAGGTGCAAGGAGCCAGCAGGGGACCCTGTGCACAGGGCGACTGGTTCGGAGTACACAAGCTCCTCCATCTCCACCTCGGCACAGCGCGCCTACCTGAGAAGCCGAGAAGCCGTAGTCATCCTTTCCCTGCAGGCTCTCCAGCCCCCGGTCCCCCTCCGGCTCCACACTCACGTCCTCACTGAGCATCTCGTCAGCCTTTTCAATAATCTCCCGCACTTGAGCCACAAATGACTCTCTTTCGATTGCTAGGATAAAGTCATTGTTCACCTGAAATGAGATGTCACGTCCATCTGATTAGTGCCACGTTCTCAACAATGCTTATGACTTGGAAACTATCTGAACGTAAGCTAGGTTATTACATAGTTGATAAATAATAAATAAATAATAAATAATAAATAAATATCAAGTTCATCCTTCCTCATTTATTTTTGGCACTGGGGTTTGAACTCAGGGTCTTGAGCTATGCGAGGCAGGTGCTCTACCACGTGAGCTACAGCGCCACCCTTGTTTGCCTAAGGCAGCCTGAACCACAGTGCTCCTGTTTAAGTTTCCTGTGCATCTGGGCTGACAGATGTGTGCCACCAAGCCTGGATTCGACTAGTTGAAGTGGAGGTCTCATGAACTTTGTCTGGCTTGGCCTTGAGCCGTGACCTTCCCAATTTCTGTTGCCCTAGCAGTTAGGATTACAGGCATGAGCTACTACAACCCGCTAGTTCTTCCCCCTTTTAAGAAGCTCAATATTGGGCTCGGAAGGTGGCTCAGTGGTAGAGCGCTTGCCTTGCATGCATGAGGCCCTGGGTTCGATTCCCCAGCACCACATAAGCAAAAAGAAAAAAAAGCCGGAAGTGGCGCTGTGGCTCAAGTGGTAGAGCACTAGCCTTGAGCTGAAGAGCTGAGGGACAGTGCCCAGGCCCAGAGTTCAGGCCCCACGACCGGACCCCCCAAAAAAAAAAAATGAAGCTCAATATTTACATAAGACACATCCTAAAACATCTCCCAAGCTGGGAGGAGGTACTCCACAGCAGATGGGATGAATCTGGGACTGCAGTCACACATACCATAATCGTGGCTATCTCCTCTGGGTTATCGCCATCCAGGTCAAATTTAAAGGTAACCATCTTTCGATTATGGGTCTCTAACTGACACTCCACTACCCGGTCTCCTTTATTTGAAACCTAGAGAAAGAAAGGAAAAGGGACGTCATTTCAGAAGATTAATCTAAAACTGTAATTTTTCTAATAAGCAAACAATCATACAGCATCTAGGAACACTTGGGAGGCAGAGAGGGCCTAAACTTTGATCAATTCACCCTATTTATGTGACTAACAAAAAATAAACAGGCAAATTACTTAAATGTTATCAACTGCTTTGCAAGGCACCTTTTCATTTGTTTTTTTTGTTTTTTTTTTTTGGGGGGGGTGGTTGTTGGGGCTTGAACTCTGGGCCTGGGCTGTCCCTCAGCTCTTCAGCAAATGGCTAGTGCTCTACCACCTGAATCACAGTGCCATTTCCTATTTTCTGGTGGTCCATTGGAGATCAGAGAGTCTCACAAACGTTTCCAACTGGGCTGGCTTTGAACCATGATTCTCAGATCTCAGCATCCTGAGTAGCTAGGATTACAGGCCTGAGCTACCAATGCCTGGCACTCTGCTTTTTTCTTTTTTTGGCGGCAACATCTTGCTATATATAATCCAGACTGGCCTCAAACCCACAATCTTCCTGCCTTACCATCAAAGCTGGGCCATCATGCCTGGCTCATTTTCATTCTTTTCTAATTGAGAAATGTGATACTAAATTACAAAAGATGATGTGCATTAGACAACAAGTGTTATGTAATGTACATGTAACTCAAAGACAAGGTATCTTTATTTCACAAAGTGATCTTTCAGAATGCCCAACTGCTTTACCACCACGCAGGCCACCCATCAGCGCGCTTACATTCAGAATTCTCAGTTTCGGTCGGGAAGTCTTTTCATGCCGCGAGCGACTCCTCACAGACTTCCGGCAGTGTCGTTTTGTCGCTCTCCCCTCGTGCCTCCCGCCAGATGAGGGGGCGTTCTCGTTGCCGTCACTCATACCAGAAGCGACATCTGAGTGTGCGCTGTGGAGAGAAAAAAAGTTCGGTGTACTGTCTGAGTTTCACAGGCCTGAAACACGCCGGGGTGGGTTTTAGTTGTACATACCTGTCTATGGAGGAAACCACAGTCACAGGCTGGGCAGGCTGCGGCTGCGCACCTGAAACTGGCTCCAGAGGAGCCGCCTGGGCGGCCCCCTGAGCACTCTGTGAAGAGAAAGAGTCATTCAAATCGCAGCACCCAAAACCCCACGTAAGAGCCCTTTGCCTCTTTCTTCGTATCCTCCCCTACGTCCTAGAAGCAATAAGTTTACTAGTAATTTTTAAAATTCAACATCTAGAGACAGTGTCCTTGAAACCCCAAAGAAAGTTTCGAAAGCCAGTCTCTAGTACAGACTGCATGGTGTGAGGTCAGCCCACCTATGCTAGGCACTGTGAAACTACAACTTGCCATGCAGCCAGCATCTTACCACAAGTGTGCAAAGGGCAGGCAGAGCAAAGTGCAAAGGATGAACTCAGATCTCTCTCTAGCAGGGCAAAAACAACTGCTGGCAGCACAGCAGGATGAGACTCTCACCACCGCCTAGTGCGGAGAGTGTGGAAGGACAAGACTCAGGGCTGAAGTACTAGCTAGAGAAGGCAAGTGCTAACAGGGTGAACCTTCTCCAAGGCAAACTCACTTCCCAACAGAACAGCCAGTGGCAACAAGGCCCCCACATTGGCATTTCATTCTGCTGTAAGAAAAATTCATTCAGAAGTTAGTCTGGCATAGTCTCCAAAGGAGTGTGACACCAGGAACCTGTGCTTTTCCTTTTGTCTTGTTTACCCCGTTGTGTGTGTGTGTGTGTGTGTGTGTGTTATATACAAACATGCAGTAATTCTATTTACCTCCAAAACTGCTTGCTGGGAGGATGTAGTAGTAGGGGGTTGTTGAACTACACTCATGGCTGGCTGGGACACTTGAACCTGGCCGCCTACACCGCCCATAGGAACCACAAGATTTGGTTCCACAAAAGGCTGCACCACTGGAGGAAAGTAACCTGGTGTAGCCATTGCTTCTGTTGGCATGGAAGGGGCTAGGACTGTAGAATGGACGCAAACAGAAGCCACGGTGGAAGAGGGAGCAATATTTGAATCTCCTGGGTACTGTGGTGGCAGTCGAGGTGGGAAGCCCTGTGACAGAAATGAGGAAGGTGTTAGTGCAGGCTGGGGCACCACACCAGCAACTCAGCAACACATAAACACACACACACACACGCACAGGCACACAGTAGACCACACCAGCAACTCAGCAACATACACGCACACAGACACACACACACACACAGAGGCACACAGCAGAGCAGCAGCCCGCTCTCACTAACGACCTCAAGAACATTTGAAGATCATTCCTGAATGAGATGATGGACTGCCTACCATCCTGAGGGCAACATTCCATAACTACATTTAAAGGTGCTGCATCGCCTTTTCTGGAGATTAAATGGGACCTAGAGACTTAAATCCTTCTAAAAAACTACCTACCTTCTACAGCTCTTTTGTGGAAAAATGCAAAACACCTTCCAGGTATCAGTCATTCCCAGCCATATTATGGAAAGCTGATCCTTTATCACTGAATTAACATGTGTGTGTAGATGTGTGTGTGTGTACGTGCGCGCGTGCAGCCTGACGTACTGCACCAACATCTAATATTCAAAGAATAACTCTTCAAGCTGCATCCTGAGGAAAATGGGTAAGGAGCCAACACCCACCCACCCATCCTTTCACAGGATTTTTACCATTTTAGCTTCTCTAGTTGAGACCAGCAAGCCTAGCTACTGTTTTTCTGACTCTCAGCTACTAGATCTTCAAGTGCTTTATGGTCTGCTATTCAGAGTTAAACCCTCTAGTGCCCTCCTGTTGTGCATGCTAGCCAAATACCTGGAAGAGAACATCTCCAGAGGGAAGAGGAAGCTCAGCAGCCTGTCCAAGGTTAGCCGGTACTCCCATGGACTGCACTGCCGGCTGGAGGAGCTGTGGGTGAACCTGACTTGGCAGCTGAGTGACAGGCTGCAGAAGGGTTGGCAGCGGACTAGGAACCACAGTGGATCCCCCCGGGATAGAAGCTGCCGTAGCAGATGAAGCCAAGGTGAGCAGAGGCTGATTAATGCTGGCTGCCATTGTGATGGGAAGGGATGAGAAGCCCGTCTGCGCCGCAGACACATGAGGAGTTGGTAGGGGGATCTGGGAGACGGGGTACGGGGAGAGTAAGGAGGTGGGGAGTGGCTGTCCCACAGGGAGGAAATGAGCACCAGAGTGGACTGGAACAACTGAGGGCTGAGTTGCGACTGGGATCTGAGGTTCGCCTTGGATAGTTGGCACTGGCTGGGGAACTGGAAGCTGGGAAAGTAAAGAAAAACAAAACAGACTTTTTAAAGCAAGGGCGCCAAAGCGAGACTTATGTGTCATTAGCCAGAGGGGGGGGGAGCAGCCCCAACCAGACCCTGCGCACGTTAGTGTGAGTTAATATGCCGAGGAAGCACAGAGAAAGGGTAGCGGGAGACCAGTTCAGCCTGGACCAGAGGAGGGTCTTTCCACAGACAAGGCTTTGCTCGTTCATCTCCACTCCCAATTCACCAAAATGTTTCATCATGAAATCTAGCATTACTTTTATGGCACTCAAACAGTCCTCCCTCCACTGTAATGAAGACCTCATATATATTTATTTTCTCAATTGTGTGTGTGTGAGAGTTGTGAGATGTGAACTCAGGGCCTGGACACTGTCCCTGAGCTCATTTGCTCAAGGCTAGTGTTCTACCACTTCCAGTTTTCTGGTGGTTCACTGGAGATAGGAGTCTCATGGACTTTCCTGCCTGGGCTGGCTTTGAACTGTGATCCTTGGATCATAGCCTCCTGATCACAGCCTAAGTAACTAGGATTACAGGCATGAGCCACCAGTGCCTAGCAATCTTATTTTTTTTTTTTTATTGGTCATGGGGCTTGAACTCTGGGCCTGGGCGCTGTCCCTCGGCTCTTCAGCTCAAGGCGAGCACTCTACTACTTGAGCCACAGAGCCACTTCCAGTTTCCTGGTGGTTTATTGGAGATAAAGAGTCTCACTGCCTTTCCTGCCCCGGCTGGCTTTGAACCTCAATCCTCAGACCTCAGCCTCCTGAGTAGCTAGGATCACAGGTGTGAGTCACCAGTGCCCCGATTCTTCTTAATTCTTACGTCTAACATATCTCTATAAAGTAGGTGTAGCTGCCCTCAAAGGACCTGGTCATTTTAACATTTAGGAAACACTTTACAACTGTCTTGGCAGTATGTGCCCACTGGTACAAAAACTGATGGTACAGTTTACAGTTGGTAGTAGATTGCTACTGTCACAGCTTAGCTCTCCTAAGGGTATCTGAGGACACAAGTCCTACCCGTGTGCACACATAAGCACACAGATAAACAAAAACACTATTCTACAAGGGCCCATCCTGGGCCTGGCATGAGTCTCATCTTCACCTACTGGTACCAGGAGGAGACAGCTTTCCTCATGACGTCACTGCCTGACCAGGGACATAAAAAAAGGAGCTTTCCTCCATGACATCTCTGCATGGCCATGGACCTAAAAGCGATGAAGCCAGAAGGGCACAGTGGACGGAAAAACCTCTGGGGCCTCAAGCCAAAACAACCCTTCCTCCTCTTTTTCTCAGGTCTGTGTGGCAGCGAGGAAGCTCACAGAGCGACGGTCACCCCGCACTGAGGGAGGAGTGATGGGGATGTCTATGTGAAACCAGCACAGGCGCAGACTGAGACTACCACGGAGAGCTGAACGTTTCTAGAGGCCGTGACAAGACCAGGTCCTGAAGCATTTGTAGTTTATTCACTAGTTTCAGTGCTTCTATTTTGTATCAAACCGCCAAACTACCGGTACGTATCTGTTAGCATTAAATACTGCATGTGTGCAAATGGAGTGCTTTTTGCTTTCCTATCACAGTAGACTGAGCAACTTCAGCAGACGCTTCACTATCAGGAGAGGAGGCGGAGTCTTACAGAGGATGTGCTTCAGCAATGTAGCGTGTACCTGTTTTCCAGCGGACGCTGGAGCTGGAGCTGGAGGCTGACCCGTGGGCTGGGCGGGAGCAGCATCGCTGGAGGGGACCACATGCGCAAGTGTATACTGCACAGCCTGCTGAGGAGGGGCTGTCTGTTGAACTCCCTGTTGCAAGAGGGAAACACTGATTTGGATGCTTTGATACAAGAATTTGCTATGTTGCTTGGGCTCGTCTTGCACTCCTGGGTCTTAAAAAGTGACCCTTCTGCCCTCTGCTTCTCGAGTAGCTGGGATTACAGATATGTACCACCCAGGCTCAGCCAGTAATTCTGTTTCACTTCAAATCAGCATTAATTTACTTAAGTAAAGCCTCCAATATCTGTAAATTATAATTTCAGTAAGTCATGCAAAAACACAAATTCACCAATTCCCTTAAGTCAAACCCTCCACTCCCAAATCCCCTCACAGAATTTTCCTCAGACGTAAGCCCTTGTTCAAACCTTGAGCCACCATTAGATTTACTGACCCAATGTTGCTCTCACCACAACAGCAGGTGTTTGCAAAGACATTGAGATACCCTAGCCAAATAACTCTTCCCAACCCCACCTGCCATAAAGCCTTCCCAATATCCCCCCATGGCTCAGGGAACAGGGGACCTAATTGTATTGTGTTAAGTAGTTTAAATGGTGAGTTGTGGAGTCACAGCACGTGCAGATTCAAACTATGTGCACCTCTTGCAAACTTTAAGTTACTCAACCATCTCCAGGTCTCTGCTTTCACATCAGTAAAATGGAAACAACACTAGCACCTACGTTTACAGCATTCCCAGGATATGGTGTTCCTAAACCATCACCCTGCTGGAGTTGATCCTTAGGTTTTATTCAATGCTTGTTAATAATTAAAAGAAGTATTTACTTCCTTTTCAAAAAACCTAGTGAACTGCACCAGCAATGTTACTTACAAAAGACAGATATAGAAAGTAAAGCTGTGGCTCAAGTGGTAGAGCACTCAGCTCACCTGGAGCTGAAGAGCTGAGGGACAGCACCCAAGCCCAGAGTTCAAGCCCCATGACCGACGTTTAAAAAATAAATAAATAAATCTAACAAAAGACAGACATGTGTAAGAAGCAGCAAGGCACCTCTTACCTGAGGAGGATGCTGGGTGGTTTGGGAAGATGGAGCCCCTGTCAAGCCACTTGAGGACGGCTGGCTCTGGCTCTGTCCCTGTGCCTAAAGGCAAAAAACAGACACACACTGGAGCAAAACGTAAGGGGAGGGCGTGCAGGTCAGGTTTCTTGCAACACTCAAGCTCCTGAGATGTTTGCTTAACCAAAGTGACACATTAACTTGACTGAGGATGTTATGGGGGACATCCTTGGGGCCTTGGGGTAGCTTTGTGAGAAGAAGTTCACATCAAGAACATAGCACATATCTTATCTCAACCCATTTTGGAAATCAGCTGGTAGTTAAACGTAACCTACCACAGCTCAGACTCTCATTTTAGCCTGTCAGATCCACAATAAAACCATTACAACAGTAATAAAGTTATCAATGCAGAAAACAAAATTTAATCTGAACGTTTAAGGAGAAAGAGTATTTGAGGATGCCATCTTGGTTCTATACCTTGTTAGTGCCACAGGGAATGTTTTTAAAATCAGAAACAGCCAATCAGGTATAATCCATTTCCTAATAACGCACAGCAATGGCTGTTGGCAGGGGACAGGTGGCAGCAGCTAGAGCCATTTCTGCCCGTCACTACTGGAGAGGGCTGCCGCTGCTAACCACTGGTGGGCAGAGGCCAGGGGGCTGCTAAACGCTCTGCGATGCGCAGGAGACCCTGATCCAACCCAGAACATCCACAGGGCTCCAACTATAAAGACATGGGAATTGAAATAAATGAGCAAGGGTGACACGCACGTAGGACCAGATAGACATTTAGAAAGAGGACATGAAAGGCCACATCTTTGTTGTTCCATTTCAATTTGGAAAAGGTTCTTGAAAGCTTATGTGAATGTATCACCTTCCACGGCAGCTTAAGAGTCTGCACTTGAAATTTTACTTTGGAAAGCTTCAAGAATGCCTGAGCAAGCACAGTAGGGGTTGACAATTTGACAGCTCATGGGGGTTTGCAGAATGCCGAGGCAGTCAAGTTTCAGGATCTTTTCTCTTTTTTGCTTCCAAATACTAATCTGATAGTCTAGGTACATTTTTGGAGTTGCTTATGCCTTTGCTGGGGGAGAATAGGGGAAGAAAGCAGGTATAGTATATAGTACTTTATAAAAAATAAAATGTATGGAAAATTCAAATGATATCCAATTGTGTAGTCTCTTGTGTAGACTACACATACACTTGACACATGTCAAAAGAATGTATGAAATAGGCCTCATTTCTTTAATCCTGAGTCCCTTCCCTTTGGCGTTATCTACATCCTGAGTACATACGCATACACACAACTAAAATCTGAGACAGCACAGCCTGAGACATCTACTCTTCCTGACTTGAGTATTTTAAATTCTTCAAGCAAAAAAGTAAAAAGACCCACCATCTAGATTCTAACTTAACACTAAAATCAGAATCAGCCCTTAATTTTCTAAATTATCTAGGCGTTTAAAACATAGTAATTTGTTTTGATACCATTTCAAAATGGCATTCATTTGTTAATAAGTCCACCTGTCGCTTACATCCTCAATACTAATGAAAAAATCTGTGCTTTTAACTAGCATTCCAAAGAGTTTTCACTTCTCCATTTTCATTTATAGTTACTTTTTTGTGTATTTTTAAAAAATAATAACATTGTTTAGAGTATTTTACTTTAGTATAACCTTATAAATAACCAATGCTAAATCAACCTTACGTTAAAGGCAACTACATTTTCACTACTAATTGAAAATTCCATTTACAAGGGAGAGCAGTCACTGAGGATGACTGACTGTTTAGCAAGCCAATCAGGTAGCTGCTGCCTTCATAGTTTGTTCTTAGGTACAAAGAAGTTATGACCTCCAAAAGATAGAGAAACTATCCTTCAGAAAACCCCAATTCAGGGAATGCAACGGTGCACAGTAGGGTAGTTTAAGAGAACTGCAGAAGTTTTCCTATAACCTGTGGGTGGGGTGCAGATCCTCCTGAGGGAAACGAGGCAGGAAAGACCTGCTGCGATGTGGTTCCTTGGGGGAAACAGAAGAGAAGCGGGGGCTCCTGAAACATTGTCTGAGGCAGACGGATAAAGGATAATGAGACGTCCGAGCCCAAAGGTGCAGCAGCCCCTCCTGTAGGGGGAGGTGACTGAAAATCACTGGGGTCTGAAGAAGTGATTTGTGAAGAGTCACTGGAGTATTCTGGGCTCCCTATCGGCCAGTTCTGTCCAGTAGGCTCTTCCATAGAAATGGTCAGCTCGGGGACAGGGTGGCCCCGCTGCTCGGTCCCGGGCTGCAGGTGGCTGTGTGACCCCACCGACTGAGAAGGTGTGTCTTCCTGTCCCAAGTCCACTGCAGCCTGGAAATTTTGGTAGACACGTTGAGGTAAAATCCCACCTCCTTCTCCCGAAGAGGAGCTTGGTGTTTGGGCGTGAAATTCGAATACACAGTTGCTTCTGCCCTCAGAGCTCTGAGTGAGCACAGCTGGTGCAGAATGAGGAATAAAGACAGGGTGGAATTTTAGACGTGCAGCGTCTGTGCTGTTAGGTGCAGAAGAACTAGAGAGGGGAGATGCTGAGTTCAACGCAGACTCTAACCTCAAATTCTGAACGTGTCCTACCAGGAAAGCCTGCCCCGATGGAAAGTCAAAGACGGAATTTAGGGTGGGCCCCCCTTGCACTGGCTTCTGCTCGGGAATCTGTTTCACAGGAGTTGAAAGCACTGGTGAGCTGTAGGAGAAGCCCTCATACTGTTCTGCCATCTGGGCCTGATAATGGACCCCGGCTAGATACACTGTTTCCTGAGGAATGAAATAGTGAGCATCTTCTGGTAGCACCAGGCCTGGTCTGTAGTCACTGTATGCTGGAGCTGGCTCAAAGGCGGGGACGACCTGTAACTCACACAGCTCTCCAGGGACTCTGCCGGCTGCGGCACCCAACATAACCACAGCCTCTGGTGTCCAGTTAGGCGGGCTGCCACCAGGTGGAAGGAGAGTCTGGCCAGCTGTCCTCAGCAGGGGCTGGAAGTGGCGAGTTTGGGCTTCCAGGAAGGAGGTGCTCTTACGCCGCTGGGAAATGGCTACTTTCGGTGAAGAGGTGGGAGGTGGTGAAAAAGAAACTGGACGTTCATGAATAGTTGGGAAAAATATCTGTGACTCTGGGTATGTTGGGGTCCCCCCACACGGATGCGCCACGGACTGAGGCTGTATCAACATGAATAAGACAAGTAATTCATACATTCATATGTGAAATTACAACAGACATGCACAACTGGACAGTTCTGTGTAACCCTGTGAAACGGTTACACCAACTCTAATAAGGAAGTAACGAGGCTTCTGGAAATTATGTGCAAAATCAAAAACCCATTAAATACATCCAGGGCCAATAAATCAGTCTGTGGGACTCTTTGCATCAGATAAGAGCTGCTTTTCTGCAACTTTCCTGACTCAAAGGGAAAGAAGACTAAACTTCCTAAGTGCTTATTCCATTTTACCTAAAATTAATGTCTGCTCTTAAGACATGTGAAAGAAAAACAAATGTTAACGGGTAATAATGTATTTTTTAAAGGGTAAAAATACTTTTCAGTGCTAAGTTTCTTACATTCTTACTATCCTGTGCTGTTAAATGGGTTATTTTTCATTCACTAATAATATGTCTTCTAAACGGAAATCAGGGGGCTGGAAGTGGGGCTCACGTGGTAGAGCATTTGCCTTGCTAACACTGGCCTGGAGTTCAAACCCCAATACTAGAAATCGGAGGAGCTCTTTGGTGGTTTATAAAGACACATGAACCTAGTAGGTAGGTACACACCTGTAATCCCAGCATTCTGCAGGCTAGGCAGGAGGATTCTGAGGGCCAGGCTAGCCTGGGCCACATAGCTATACTCTGCCTCCAAATTAACCAAAAACAACAGAAAGATAATTTATCTTCCTCATATCTCAAAGATATTTCATTACTGTGGGAAAAATAAAACAGCTTTACTGGTACATAAAACAGGTTAAAGATGCCAATCACCAAAAATTGACTTTTTTGAGAAATGATTAGGACTAAAGGCCATGAATTTACTGACCTGGTATCAAGTCTCTAAATCAGGTGAAATGGATAATAAAAGGATCAGCCCATTTAATTTAGGAGTACATTTTGTTTCTAGAAGCAATTTCTGATGTAAGATTAAATGTAGAATCCTAGCTCATCAAACACAATACACACTACAGCAATGCATGACTCCTTTTAAGGAGATCAGCTCCATTCGGATTAGAGAAGATGCCCATCTCATAAGCAAAGTGATTCAAATATTCAAAATGGCTAAAAAAGAATTTCTATTTCAAATCAGAACATTCATTTTACTGACTGTTTATTCAAGATATGTCCTAAATCTATGTAACATTATATAATCATCTTAATTTAAAAAAAAAAAAACTGAAGGTTATAGGACTGCTAGTTGGGGTTATTAAGTTATTCTGTCTGGAAAAGCAGTAGCAAGGTCCCACAGAACTTAACGCAATTAGAAGAAAATCACAGACATTAATGGAGCCAAAGAAAGTCATATATACTAAATAAAATTAGCATCCAGGCCCCATCCTACTCAACTCAAGAAAAAAATACATCCTATGAGGAAACATTTTGCAACTTGTAGTTTGAAGGATTATTTTACATGAATGGTTACATTCAAGTCAACTTTCACTCTTCAATTGTTCTTTACTAGGGTAAAAAAAACAGACTGAGGCAGGAAAGTCTGTGAGACTCTTAATCATAGAAAAAGCCTGAAGTGGCACCATGGCTCAAGTGGTAGAGTGCTAGCCTTGAGTGAAAAAGAGCTCAGGGACAGCGCCCAGGCCCAGAGTTCAAGCCCCAAGACTGGCCAAAAAAAAAGGGGGGAGGGAACACTCATTAAGCTTCAATACTATCCCTTAAAAATAAACTAAGGAGGAAACCAAAACATTTGGGTAATGTTTGATAGTTGTTTTGTTGGTTATGCCAATAATCAGTTGTAAAGTTAAACAATATAAATGCCTTTTGCTATGACATGAAAATACAAAAACTTTGTGTGTGGAGGATAATATAATAAAAGCTAAAAATTTTTTTGATAAAAGCTAAATTTTATTGGGTATATGTTGATACGTGCACACTATAAGACTGTAAGTATTCCTTCTTATTACCTCCTTGATTTTTATTCTCCTTAAGACCCTGATTACAAAATATTTCCTATAGGAATAATGATTATTCTAAAGCACATATTCAAGTTAATAGTTTCATCTTGCTCTACGTTCAATTTCTCTATCGAGTCTTGGTGCCTGGATGTATTTGCGGGTAATAACTGAGTTACATACAGTAGTGACAAAGAGGGAGGGCAGGCTGGAGCGTCGGTGCTTGCGCTGAGAGGCAGAGTGCATGGGCAGGACACTCTCCAGGGCTCTAGAGAGCTTTTCGGCAAAACTTTCCTCAGGGGCAGTCCGAAGGAGGGGAGGAGAAGGAGGCGCAGCTAGCACTGATGGTGGGGGGGAAGGAACGCTGGGAGGGACGCAGGACAGAGAAGGAACAGCACAGAGATGGGGAACACAAAGCGACATGCTATGGCCACGACGAGGCTAAACAGAAAACAAACACGTGAAAACAGAACAACACAATACACAGTGGTAACAGGGCAGTGAGCATGAAGAAATGTCCCATCCTCCCCACCCCACACCCTGACCCCCAAAGCACCTGGACAGATCTCAACTATCCTCCCTACTCCAGTGTTTCCCACAATTCCTGAATATTCTGAAACACCCACCATTACAAGTGTGTGAATAGTAAGACTGAAAGTAGCAGATAGAGAAAATGATGAGTATCGGTTTACAGTTTCTGTAAACTTAGCAAGATTAAAGAGGAATGAATTCTATTAGGTTGAAGTATAGTATATTACAAGATTGGGGAGATTTTAAGAGATCATTTTGCAAGAACTGTGGAAACTTGAGGAAAGGATTCTTATTTCTATTTTAGAATGCATCAGAGTAAAAAGTGGTTAGCTTACAGTATTTTAGTACTCTTGCCAATCTTTTGCTGCAAAAGTAAAAATCATTATCTACTAAGGAAAAAGTACAGCATTCCTGAAGAAATTTACAACAGGATATAGGAAATATTTTTTACTCTTGCTAAACACCTTCAGTGTTTTCCTAGGATAGCTGAAATTAAACTTAGATTTACTAGTCTTAAGCTCAAAAGAAAGTGTTTGCTGCTGCCTGTGAACAGCGGGTCTGAGAAAGGCTGCCTGAGTTATGTTTGTTTCCTTTTCCCAAACTGGCTGCAAAGAAGGCCCTATGCCCAAGTACCACTATGTATCATCATGATACTTTACTGTTTCCATTTTTTTAGCCCTAGTTTCTTTCTCTAATTTTTAAAATGTCAGTTACAAGTTTTATGTATCATTGTAAGCCTTGGTGAATCCTTTCTAGCATAAGAACAATTATAAACTTCCTTAATTCTTCAAAATACCTCCACAGAATACTGTCATTAAAAGATAAGAGTTCCACCTGCTTTGAGAATACCTGCTAAAGGTAGCTATGTTAGTGGTTCAAGCATGTAATGCCCTCATAAGTGATCAATATAGAAGAGATCAATATTTGTAACCCTGTAATGAGGGAAGTCAAGAGTAAGAAATCATAGTCTGAAAATCTAATTTCATGTTTCAGGGGAAAAGAAAAAAATCTATTAGAACAAAGATAGAAACTGGTTAAGAAATGCTGACAAGTAATATTTGCCAAAACACAGGAACAGACCTTCTGTGTAGTCATTATAAAGCAATTTGGCTCTCTGAGTGCCCTTGAAGGTTAGACAGTTAAAAAAAAAAAAAAAGTAGTGTGTTAGTGGGTTTCTTTGTGTTACTACAGCCATTCATCCGAAGACCTAGCCAAAGCAGGACTGAGCAATGGACTTGAAACAAATATCTTCTATTTCAAGCACAGAAGACCAGAGCAAGCAAAAGTATTCTCAGAGAAAAGATTTTCCTTTAATGAGAAACAAGAATCCATAACATTCAGAGTAAAAGCCTCGTGAAGTGAAAAAGAATCAGTCTACGTAAAGAGCTCAGTACCCAAGACAAGTGCTATAAAATGACTAGCTACTATCACCATGTCCTTTCTGAGGCCTCTGGTGTATTTTGGAATCAGCTAGTGAAAACGAAGTCTATTATTTGATGACCAACCTCTCTAACATTCTCATGACAAGCAAAGGGAGTAATAATGCATATGTATACATCTATACACAGACCAGCAAATAGTTTTGAAATGACTTCTGCAAACTAGCTCCAAAAATAATCAGTAATAAAACAGATACCAAATAAAGGGAACAGCAAATGAACGTATACTGGGGAAGGAACCTCTGTTCAACACAGACTTTAAAGGCAAAAACACGCATAGCAACTGATGATCAAACTCAATACAAGCGCTGAAGGAAATGGTCATACAAATACAGGGTCCTTCACTATATTGACATGCAACATTCTGGAATGGTTCAAAGGCTTACCTGTCTCTTTATAAGATATGAAATCTTACAGAAAACACTTATTATTTAAATAAGCTTTTAAAGAAAACTCTCCTTGCCCCACCCCCAAATTATCTGCATGTCTAGTTGATGGTCCTTTGAACAGTTTCCCTGTGCAGTGTGGAAAACTCTGTCTACACCTGGGCATAGCCGCCTCACGTGGGCAGCTCAGCACTCAGCTGCTTCTCACACACTGCCGTGTCGACACTCCGGCTGCACAGCGTCTGCTGCCCTGCGGACACAGCCGCCCCTCAGTGTCTACGGGGGCTGAGTGGTTCCAAGTGCCCCTACCATACCAGAACCTGCAAGGTGCCCAGGTCTCAAAAAAAGTGGGGCAATGTTCCCACCGAACCTACAAACATCTTCCTGTGAACCCCGAAGCCTCTTCACATTGCTGATGATATTCAGTGTAAATGCTGTGTCAAAACAGACTTTTTTTTCTTTAGCATTTTAGTGTTTGAATTTACCACTGTTGAGCCCACAAATCCAGAGGGCTGACTGCATACCATTTGTCTCTATTTTCTACTTGGGAGTCTCATTACCAGAGTGTGCTGTGCATCTACTCACCATGCTTGTGGGTGGATAGACCCCGTGGGTCTGTGACTGTGCTTGCACAGGAGAAGCTGTGTGCCCTGGAACTGCACCTGCTGAGTGTGCCTGCTCATGCTGGGAGCCAAATGACACTGTCTGCTGGCTGCTCACTCGAGATTCCGTGAAGATGGACGATCCCTGACCACTGTCAATGGTCCCATCCGCTGGAGAAGAACCCAACCATGGGAGGGGATGAGAATGATCATAAAGGAAGCTGACATTTTCCTAACCACTTTACATCAGGGTTAACTGACTTCTTTGCACAAAATAAACTAAATTTTTTTAAAAAAAGAATGGAGATCTATCTTATTAACTGTCTATATTTAAATAAGGAAATCATATAGGGGAGAAGTTTTGGGGTTTTTTGGTTGGTTGTGGAGCTTGCACTCTGGGCGTGGGCACTGTCCCCGAGCTCTTCAGCTTAAGGCTGAGGCTCTTCCACTTGAGCTACAGCACCACTTCTGGTTTTCTGAGTGGTTAACTGGAGATAAGAGTCTCAGACTTCCTTGCCTGGGCTAACTTTGAACTGTGATCCTCAGATCTCAGCCTCCTGAGTAGCTAGGATGACAGGCGTGAGCCACTGGCGCCTGGCATAGGGGAGAAGTTTTAAACTTAAAAAAATTCACAGAGCTGGGAAGGTGGCTTAGTGGTAAGAGTGCTTGCCTAGCATGCATGAAACCTGGGTTTGATTCCTCAGTACCACATACACAGAAAAGGCAGAAGTGGCTTTGTGGTTCAAGTGGTAGAGTGCTAGCCATGAGCAAAAGAAGTTCAGGGACAGCATCCAGGCCCTGAGTTCAAGTCCTAGGACTGGCCAAAAACAACTAAATAATTAAAATTTAGTATCATCTGAAAAAAAGGGGGGGGAATATTGTAAGGAAATCTTTTTTTTGGGGGGGGGATCTGGTCGAGGGGCCTGAACTCTGGCCTGGGTGCTGTCCCTCAGCTCTTCAGCTCAAGACTAGCGCTCTACCACTTGAGCCACAGCACCACTTCCTGCTTTTTTCTTTTTGCTTATGTGGTGCTGAGGAATCGAACCCAGGGCCTCAGGCATGCAAGGCAAGTGCCCTACCACTGAGCCACCTTCCCAGCCCCTGTAAGGAAATCTTAACTTTAATCTAGCTTTCAAAAGTTTGCTTAGGAAGACTTGTGACCTGGTATTAAGCAGTTAATTTAATAACTCTTGATCTCATTAATGTTTAGTCGATTTACCATTTACCTTTGCTACAAGAACCAAACTAGGTTAGTAGGAATAACCTGAAGTAGCTAACTTGTTCGTTCTTCATTAATTGCCACTTATTTTAAACTTTTTAGAATTATAATCCTTAAATATGAACACCCAAAATGTTATAACAGTTGAGATTATTTCATATCTTACTGACGTTTCCTCAATGTCTCATCCTTCTGTTCTACTGGTCATGGGCATGAGAATAAAAACAGAAGACAGCAACCACTTCATACATTTTTAAGTTATACACAGAATTAATCATTCAAAACAGGACACTACCCAGCACAATTCACTAGCATGTTCATCTGTACCCCAAACACTCACACAGCACAGATACACCGGGCTGTGGATACTGTAGTTGTTGATGCTGGTCTGCCTCGGGTTCTTCAGGCTCTACTTGCGTCGACACGGACGCAGAGGTGGTGGGGGCCGTAGGTGCACCGGTGCCAGCAGGAGGGGTCTGCTGGGCGCTGGTCTGGGAAGCACTCGACTGCTGCTCCACCTGCTGCCGGAGACCATTCTCTTCCTGTCTTCGTTTCTCCTGCTCCTCCCGCACCTGCTGCCGCTGCTCTCGTTTCCTCTTAATCAACGACACTCTGTCTTTGATAGCTTTAGCCATGGTCTTATGATCACCTTCACAGACATACCCAGACTCTACCTACAGAAAGAAATGGGGTATCAAAAGAACAATGAAACCAACAAAGGCACCACAGACAGCGGGGAGGTGATGGCCACTGCTATGGCTGCCCTGTGGCACACACTTCCCACCGCCATGGTGGGTGCCCCCCTGCGGGTGCCGCCATTCTACGAGTCTACTCCAGTGGATGTTCACAATTCTAACTGCTCTTCGTCCTTTCAATAGGCAACCTCTTATCCAGCTGAAACAATGGTGACAAGTGTATGTGTTTAAGGGTGATGAAATACAGTCATTATATTAAATGTACATTATGTAAAAGTTCATCTATACAACTTGAGGGTATGGATGGGACTGGGAAGAATGGGGAGAATTGAAGGGTAACATCAATCAAAATACACTGTACTCATAATCCGACTTGTGAAACTGAAACTCCTTTGTACAACTACTTTAAAAATTAAAAAAAGAAAAAAAAACCAGTAAGTCAGGTGCCAGTGGCCCCCACCTATAATCCTAGCTACTCAGGAGGCTGAGATCTGAGGATCTCAGTTCAAAGTCTGCCTGAGCAGGAAAGTCCATGAGACTTAGCTCCAATTAACCACTAACAATCTTGAAGTAGGGTTGTGGCTCAAGTTACAGAGCACTAGCTTTTAGCAAAAAGGCTCAAGGAACAGCACCCAAACCCTGGGTTCAAGCCCCAAGACTGGCACACACTCAAAAAACTCAAGCAATAAAAAAAGCAAACTACCAATAACGTGTGTGTGTGTGTGTGTGTGAGAGAGAGTGCGCACGCGCACGTGCGTACGTGCCAGGAATAGTGGTGGCTCAAGCCTGTATTCCTAACCACCGGTGAGGCAGAGCTCAAGGGATTATGGTTCAAGGTCAGCCCCAATAAAAAGCTGGTGACTCCATCTTAGCCGGAGTGGGATGGGTCATGTATGGCTATAATCCCAGCTCTGGGGAAGCACAGTGGCCGGCAGTGGTGTGTGCTTGTCATCCCCAGGGATACCAAGAGGCACAAATAGGAGGGCTGCAGGACAGGCTAGCCTGGGCATAAAACCAGGCCCTACTACAAAAATAACCAACGGTGCCAGGCACCAACAGCACATGCCTGCAATCCTAGCTAGTCAGGAGGCTGAGATCTGAGGAATGCGGTGCAAAGCCAGTCTGGGTAAGGAAATCGGTGAAATTTTTATCTCCAATTAACCAACACAAAGCCTGAAGTATAGCTGTGGGTCAAGTGGTAGAGAACAAAATCACAGGGATGGAGTCCAGGCCTGGGAAGGTGGCTCAGTGGTAGAGGGCTTGCCTTGCATGCATGAGGCCCTGGGTTTGATTCCTCAGTACCACATAAGCAGAAAAAGTTGGAAGTGGCGCTGTGGCTGAGGTGGTAGAGCGCTAGCTTTGAGCTGAAGAGCTGAGGGACAGCGCCCAGGCCCAGAGTTCAGGCCCCACGACCAACCAAAAAAAAAAAAAACCCAAAACCCCATGACAGGCAGACAGGAACACAGGCACGTGCGCACATGTGGGAGCACGCACACACCAAGCATTGCTTTTACACCTGACGCTAACAGGCAACTACTGCTGTATGGTTCACACTAGGCATATTCTATGAACATCCTGGCATAACTGGCTATTTTAGGCACTTTAGCAAACCTAACTTGGTAAAGGGGTAAAAGGTTATCCTGTTAGCAAAAGTGATCTTTTACATATACCGGAGGTGAGAGTATACCAAAAACTACTAACAATTAATCTGGAAAACTTTCAAAGTAAAAAATAGTTGATAGCTTCACATTGTTTTATAAGGCTTCTGTAATTATGAGTCTAAGGTTAACTGATAGAAACAACTTGTAAGTGGCAAATGGTGGCACATGCCTATAATTCTAGCACTAGAGAGGCTGAAGAAGGAGAAATTTTAGTTCAAAGCCATCCTGGCTATATATGAAGATCCTGTCTCAAATAAACTACTCCAAAAGAAGCAAACTAAAATTATAACTTTCCTTAGAACTGAAGACTTATGCAAATTATTAGTCATTCAACCTCAAAGACTTTGAAATATATAAATGTACAGCAACTGCTAAATGGTTGATTAGTGTCAATTTACCATTTCTTGAGCAACATCTTCTGGCACATCTCTCTCCAAGTCAAAGGAGAATTCAATAGCTTCATTGTCTTTGTACTTCCCCTTTAATTTCTTAATATCTTCAATACGCAGCCATAACTTAATAGCTATCTTTTCTCCATCGTCTTCTTCAGCTAATTCTACCCGTACCCCTGTTTCCTCCTGGAAGAAGGCATGGTTCAAAAGATCTTTGATGGAATATCTTCCAAAGAGAGAGAAGAGAAACACAGTATCAGTACTATGAAAAGAAAATTTTCGCCAGGTGCCGGTGGCTCATGCCTGTAATCCTAGCTACTCAGGAGGCTGAGATCTGAGGTTCATGGTTCAAAGCCAGCCTGGGCAGGAAAAGCCGTGAAACTCTTATCTCCAATAAACTACCAGAAAACCAGAAGTGGCACTGTGGCAAGTGGTAGAGGGCTAGCCTCGAGCTGAGGGACAGCGCCCAGGCCCAGAGTTCAATCCCCATGACTGTCCAGAGAGAGAGAGAGAGAGCGAGAGAGAGCGAGAGAGAGCAAGAGAGAGCAAGAGAGAGAGAGAGAGAGAAGAAATGATAATTTTATTTGAGAAAGGGCCTCACTATGCTGCCAGTGTGGCCTCAAACTCCTGAGCTCAGGCAATCCTCCTGCCTCAGCCTCGCAAGTGCTAGAACTATAGGCATTCATCATGGCACCTTGAACAAAGAACTTTCAAATGTATCTGGTTGTTAATTATATAAGACTGTATAAGATAAGGAAAAGCCTGTAACTCATTTGTCTAGACATTAGTCTATTTGAACATGATTTGAACAGTCATACTCCTAAGTTATTCAATGACATAATCCATTTTATGAGTAAGAGGTAATAGTAATAATTTTAAAATCAAATAATACAATCTCATTAGGGCTATGACAAGGGATGCATAAAATTTCAAAGTATCAAAGTACCACTGAACCCTTTATACAGCATTTTTTAACTAGCAACAACAACAAATACCCAAGGAGCTATCCCCTTGTCATTATGAAATAAAGGCTCAAAGAGGTTAAGAGTCTCACTCATAGGTTTAAAGCTGTCATTGATGTAATCAAAAATAGACGTGAGCCGATGCTGCTGGCTCACGCCTATAATCCTATCTACTTAGGAGGCTGAGATCTGAGGATCGAGGTTCAAATTCAAAGCCAGCCCGGGCAGGAAAGGCCATGAGACTCAAAGCCAGCCCGGGCAGGAAAGGCCATGAGACTCTTATCTCCAATAAACCACTAGAAAACCAGAAGTGGCTGCTGTGTCTCAGGCAGTAGAGCACTTGCCTTGAGCTCAAGAGCACAGGGACAGCACTCAGGCCCAGAGTTCAAACCCCACAACCGCCAAAAAAAAGAAAAAGGAGATATGAAAAGAAGGTACTAGGCAAGCACAAGATATAATGCGGGAAAAATCTACAAAATAAACTTTTCCCTAGCTTCCCACCTTCTCCTAGAGAGATCTCTATTTACCTCTATAAATCTTTTCAATTTGTGGACAAGGCAAGAAAGGCTATTGTATAACACCTTTCTTTAGACAAAATAGTTTCAAAATACCAGTAATCTACTAAACTGTTCCATCCAGAAAACAAAGAATAATATAAATCCCCCAAAACAAATATTCCTTTGTTTGCAGTAAAAGGAATTTTTACTTTTTTAAGGACGCAGTGTATATAAAAACAGAAACTCAAACTACCTAGTGAAGTGTTGTTACGATCATGATATTAAGCTCTTCCAAATAACAAAGTCATGAAAAGAATATGAGACTAGGGCTATGAAGATAGCAATTCTTTAATTTGGTTGATATACCTGGCTGCTCTCGTTTTTCAGGGGTAGATTATAGTCAATTTACAATTTCTATTTGTATTAGGCTGGATACTTTTTCTTTTTTGGCCAGAAGCAGGGATGGTGAAGGCAGATTATTTTTCAAAACCAGATTTTGGACCCTTGCCCTGCCTTACGGGAGATGAGTCAGCTCTATGGCAGATCAGATTCTGGCCACTCCTGTTAGTGCCAGTGTCTGAGCCAGATCTCCTCCCAAGCCTCGGGTGAAGTCTTCTCTTTTTACTCAAAGGACTTTTGCTGTTTTGCTCTTCTTCAGTTTTGGAGTAAGAACAGGAAACCAAGGCCTATAAAGCGGCTCTCACGGAAGCTTCATTTAAGGTGGTTCTGGCTTACCTCAACCCGCTAAGCCTCACTTCTACAATGGTAGGGGCTCCACGGTGCGAGCAGAAACATAGGCATCAGTCTGTGCAGAATGAGCACTGCACTTGGCAGGCATCAGTCTGGGCAGAATGAGCACTGCACTTGGCAGGCACCAGTCTGTGCAGAATGAGCACTGCACTTGGCAGGCATCAGTCTGGGCAGAATGAGCACTGCACTTGGCAGGCACCAGTCTGTGCAGAATGAGCACTGCACTTGGCAGGCATCAGTCTGGGCAGAATGAGCACTGCACTTGGCAGGCACTAGTCTGTGCAGAATGAGCACTGCACTTGGCAGGCACCAGTCTGGGCAGAATGAGCACTGCACTTGGCAGGCACCAGTCTGTGCAGAATGAGCACTGCACTTGGCAGGCACCAGTCTGTGCAGAATGAGCACTGCACTTGGCAGGCATCAGTCTGTGCAGAATGAGCACTGCACTTGGCAGGCACCAGTCTGTGCAGAATGAACACTGCACTTGGCAGGCATCAATATGTGCAGAATGAAAACTGCACTTAGCAGGGAATTTGTGTTTAAGCCAAAACACCGGACAACTCACCTTTCATCTTTGTTTTGTCTTATGCAACCTTCAATGATTTCTTTCACTTCAGGAATTGCTACTTTGTCAAAACTTGCCGGCTTCACCCCCTGAAAACCAGAAATTTAGGCACAGAACAGATTAATAAGGCTGGAAATGTGGCTTAGTGATAGAGTGCTTGCATAGCAAGCATGAAGCTCTGGATTCAATTCCTTTTTACTACATAAATAGAAAAGGCTAGAGAAGAGGGGCTGGGAAGGTGGCTCAGTGGTAGAGCGCTTGCCTTGCATGCATGACGCCCTGGGTTCAATTCCTCAGCACCACATAAACAAACAAACAAACAAAAAAAACAACCAGAAGTGGCTCTGTGGCTCAAGTGGTAGAGCGCTAGCCTTGAGCTCAAGAGCTGAGGGACAGCTCCCAGGCCCAGAGTTCAGACCCCATGACCTGACCCCCCCCCCCAAAAAAAAAAGGCTAGAGAAGAGGTGCTGTGGCTCAAGTGGTAGATGCTAGCTTGGAGCAAAAAGCTCAGGGACAGTGCTCAGGCCCTAAGTTCAAGCCCCAGGACTAGCAAAAAAAAAAAAAGAGTAAGAAACACTTTGACATGGTCACTCACTCCTATATATGGCAAGAAGAAAACTGGCTTCTTCCAGACAAAGGAAGTTATTGGTTAACCAGAAAGCCACACGTTCTAATCTGCTAGAAAATGTTTTGTTTAACCCAGCACGCTAGTACTTGACTTACATCAACAGCTACTTGAACCAAATCCACCTATGGGTATGAATGAGCAGGGCTTCACAGGCAACAAGTGGTTATAGTATCTTACAATACTTCAACTAGAATAAGACTTAGGGGCTGGACCTGGCTCACCAGGATGACTAAACCAAATTGTCCTGTGCACAGGAAACACATCCAATGTGGAGTGATACATTGTACTTGACTCGCACAAAAGATAAACTTAAGGAAAAGATTAGCACCATCTGATATAATACTAACTAGAACATCACAGTAATCATTTAGAGTCTTCATGAAGTGCAAATTCTTGGAACATAAAACTTGCAGCAAGCCAGGCACCAGTGGCTCACACCTATAATACTAGCTACTCAGGAGACTGACATTTATTTATTTATTTTTTTGGAGGGGCCAGTCGTGGGGCTTGAACTCTGAGCCTGGGCACTGTACCCTCAGCTCTTCAGGTAGCATTCTACCACTTGAGCCACAGCGCCACTTCTGGCTTTTTCTGCTTATGTGGTGCTGAGGAATCGAACCAACCCAGGGCCTCATGTATGCAAGGCAAGCACTCTACCACTAAGCCACCTTCCCAGCCCCATTCTTTTGTTGTTGTTGTTTTGTTGTCGGTCATGCGTTTTTTGGTTTTTTACCCATTGCTGGAAGCTCTTGTTTTGGTTTGTCCTGGGGCTTGAACTCTGGGTCTGGGCACTGTCCCTCAGCTCTTCAGCTCAAGGCTAGCGCTCTACCACTCGAGCCACAATGCCACTTCCGGCTTTTTCTGTTTATGTGGTGCTAAGGAATTGAACCCAGGGCCCCATACATAGAGGCAAGCATTCTACCACTGAGCCACCTTCCCAGCTAGAAGGCTAAGAGCTGAGGATCACAGTTCAAAGTCAGCCATGGCAGGAAAGTCCATGAGAATCTTATCTCCAATAAACCACTCAGAAAACCGGAAGTGGAACAGTGGCTCAAGTGCTAGAGCTCTCGCCTTGAGCTGAAGAGCAGAGGGACAGTGCCCAGATCCAGAGTTCAACCCCCATCACAAAAAAAGCCAGAAGTAGAGCTGTGGCTCAAAGTGGTAGAGCACTAGCCTTGAGTTCAAGCCCCAGGACAAACCAAAACAAGAGCTTCCAGCAATGGGTAGAAAACATAAAAAGGATGTGGGAACCAAATGCTATCATCTGAGAGGTAAGTAGATGGAAGATAATTCCTATCTAATGACTCATGGATTAAAATAAAAAAAGTCTGATTCTTAATTCCCATCTAGTAAAACATGGATTAAAACAGAAAAGTCACATTCCTAATTCCCACCTAGTGACACTGAATACAAGAGTTCAAGGGGCTGGGAAGGTGGCTCAGTGGTAGAGCACTTGCCTTGCATGCCTGAGGCCCTGGGTTCGATTCCTCAGCACCACATAAGAAAAAAGAAAAAAGCCGGAAGTGACACTGTGGCTCAAGTGGTAGAGCGCTAGCCTTGAGCTGAAGAGCTGAGGGACAGCGCCCAGGCCCAGAGTTCAGGCCCCACGACCGGACCCCCCCCAAAAAAAAAAAAAAATTCACCCAGATCCTGATTATCAAAGAAAATTCCTTAAAGAAGAACATATCGATGTGCATGAACATACATACAATCTGGAGTGACCCACCGAAAAGTCACCTGGGACATAAACCAGAAAGAAAAAGGTCATTTTTTTACATCATCATCATAATCACAGGCTTCCAAATAATGACAACAAAATGATTTAATGGTAAAAATATCACCTTACTCCTCTTTTTTTTTTTTTGGGAGGTCCGGTCGTGGGGCCTGAACTCTGAGCCTGGGCGCTGTCCCTCAGCTCTTCAGCTCAAAGCTAGCGCTCTACCACTTGAGCCACAGCACCACTTCCGGCTTTTTTTCTTTTTTGCTTATGTGGTGCTGAGGAATCGAACCCAGGGCCTCAGGCATGCAGGGCAAGCGTTGTACCACTGAGCCACCTTCCCAGTCCCACTCCTCTTTTCTTATATGTTTTTTATTGTAAAAATACTGTACAGAGGAGTTACAGTTACATGAGCAAAGTAATGAATACATTTCCTATCAAGCATTGCTACCTCCTCCCCTTTGTTTTTCCTCTAACCTTACTCCTCTTTACTTTGATATATACCTGAACAAAGATGAAGGTCAATTTCAAGAGCCCCACAATCCTCCAAGTTCCATCCCTTACCCTACTTCTAACCTAGCCACTTAAAGCAAATCATTACCCACTCTTCTGAATAAAGTGAAAAATGCAAAACCAGACAGATCAGCTGGCCGGCTCTAACTCGTGCTGAGGAAAACTAATCTTCACTTAGAAAGGCAGGGCACACAGCTCTGTCATTAACTCCCTCAGAGCCAGCAGCTCCTGGTGTACCTGGCTTTTCTTTCCTTTTTTTTTTTTTTTTTTCTTTTGCCAGTCATGGGGCTTGAACTCTGTGCCTGGGTGTCCCTGAGCTCTTCAGCTCAAGGCTAGTACTCTACCACTTGAGCCACAGTGCCACTTCCAGCTTTTTTCTTTTTGCTTATGTGGTGCTGAGGAATCGAACCCAGGGCCTCATGCATGCAAGGCAAGCGCTCTACCACTGAGCCACCTTCCCAGCCCCCGTACCTGGCTTTTCCAATTCCAGGGTTTCTGGGGTGCCTACAGCATATCAAGACTTGGTGTGTTTATCAAACAGGTTGCTTTCGTTGACCTACAAAATCCATGTGCACACATTTCATAGACTTTGATTTCTTTGCCAACTAATTGAAGTGAATCATAATACAGAATTCTCTGGTTTAATCTCCAAGTTTCTGCTTCTTAAAGGCTTCAGTTTCAAATGCGTTAGGATAAGATTTAGATCAATTTCAAAGTATCTCTCTGTTTCTCCCTCCTTACTTCCTCCCTCTCTTCTCTCTCTCCAGGGTCTCTGTGAAACCCTGGCTGGCCACACACTCACTATCTACCCAAGTGCTGGAACAGTGGGCTTATAACAACATCACGCCCCCTAATCATCAAACCTTTCCTAACCACTTAGAATTGACAAACAGCGACCGCCCCTCCATCCCGGCCAAAAAAAGGCATTCTAAAGTTAACTACTTCAGTACTTTTACCAAAACTCTCTATACATATTATCAAAAAAGCAAGTTCTAACACACCTTTTACATAGACCAGAAATTCTTACCTACCTCATGTACATCTCTTTGCAGGCAACAGCAGCAATGAGAATTTACAATGACAAATACTGAGCAAAAATCTTTCCTTGTGAAATCCATCAGGAAAGACCATAAATAGACTCCCAATTCAATAAAAAATAAGGGAAAATAAAAACTCCGTAGAGCAGCTCAGCCTACAGCATGAGCAGGCATGGCCCTGCATTAGGAGGCACGGGCCCCATGCTGACCCAGCTCTTCCGCCAGCTCGCTCCTGTCAGGCAACAACTGTGGCTTTGTGTCGGCTCTGTGGACAACACTCCACTCGGAAAGGCAGAGACACTACCCCGTCTGGCTCCTTCTGCTTCCCCTGCCAGGCAAAGGCAAAGGCAGACTTCCCTTTCCTCAAAGCTCCACCTCCTGCTTCACTCATGACAGCACGTCCCGCCTCAGTCCTGCCTGGCGCATTACCTGAAACCCCTTTACTAAAACACCCCGAGCCCAAATCAGATTCAACTGTGGTTTTTGGTTCTGAAGTGGGGATCGAATCCAATAACGTGTGATTTCAGAACACGTAGCCAAAAGAACACCCGGCAGCCCTTATAATGCTCTGGTTGAGTTCTCACTTCACTCTATGATATACTAGTTAGTGTGAGCTGAACTCAACTCAAACTCATTTTACAAGGGTGAAATTCAACTGCCTTCTACTCTCTCGGAGTGTGTGTTTATATTAAAGTGCAAAGAAAACGTCATTTTCCTTTACCTTCTAAGAAAAACCTTCACATGCAAAAGCACATTTCAGTTTTCCAGGTAGATCCCATGGACCCAAATGCTTGTTAGGCAAGCATTCTACCTCGAGACACACATCTTTCTGTTTTATTTTTCTTCCCCGGTAGGATCTCCCTGGCACCTTGACCCTCCTCCATCTGCCTGAGTTTCTGGGATTACAGGCTTAGGCCATAAGGCTTCTCCTACACTTCTCCCTTGGTGTGATCCAGAACAGAACCTGTACTGAGAGACATCTAAGATGTCTCTTCTCCCAGATCATTTAAGAACTTCTATGAGGGCTGGGAAGGTGGCTCAGTGGTAGGGTGCTTGCCTTGCATGCATGAGGCCCTGGGTTCCATTCCTTGGCACCACATAAGCAGAAAAAGCCAGATGTGGCACTGTGGCTCAAGTTAGAGTGCTCGCCTTGAGCTGAAGAGCTGAGGGACAGCGCCCAGAAGGGCCCACGACCGACAAAAAAACAAACAACAACAAAAAAAAGAACTACTATGATTGTCGATGAGTTCTTGAAGATAAATGCTACAAAAACAGCTGGCAAACAGTTCTGCTATTGGTATTCTTATTTCTCCTATAGCCAAACATCTCTGTCCAGGAAAATAAGATTTTTACTGGCTTGCTAGCTCTCAAAATCACATTACAAGTGGAGAGTGAATAAGGGTGCTCACTGGACACCCACTATGTTGAAAATGAACTGTACAAATTGTGGGTGGGGATGAGAGAGAAAAACTGGGAGAGAATGAGGAAAGAGGCGACCATGACCAAAAGGAAATGGACTCTTTACCTGACTTACGTAAACTGTAACACTCTGTACATCCCTTTGTAATAACAATACACAAAAACATAACCTTGTATTCTCAGCCCCCTCTCATTTGAGATGTGCCTCCTTGGTTCAACCCTCTCTAGAACAGGACGCCACACCACGGGTGGCCCACCCAGCTGACACTTAACTGTGAGTGCCAGTCATCTGACATCACATTATTGTAAGTGATTATTTCCACATCTCCAAGACAGATGCAGGAATACATGTTTAGAAAGACTTAAATAAGACTTGAAAGGAGACAACTGTGGCCCATGTCAAAGTCAGAATCCATCTGTGTCTTCAGCTGGTGATTACTAAATGGGTGTTGGGCATCTACTACTCCACACTGCATCACCCTTACAACCCACAATGCCACCAACAGGGGTACGGGTCTAATTACTGGTACAGCCAAAGTGAGAATCCAGATTTCCTGGTGACTGAGTCAATGTTGTTTCTAGCTCATGCTTCTGTGCTTCTTCATGTCCTTAACATGGAATGGAAAACCTCACTCCATGACTCCCTCCATCTCTACCCATCTCCCCAGAGTCCAAACTAGGTACCTCTTCAATGAATAAATACTTTTAATACCCTTATTTCCAAGACACCAGAACCTTTAGTGTGTCCGGAAAACTGGTCACCTGTTGAGTGAGTCCTGGAGCCTTGTTCCTACTGGCAGTATGCCTTTACTGCCCTCCAGTCAAGCAGATGTGCATTTCAACTGGCAAAAGACTCTACTCTCTCTCTTTTTTTAGCCAGTTAAGTGGTAGGCTTCTTTTGGGTTTACCTCAAGTTATGCAACAGTCTACCATGGAGGGCAGCAATTACAAAGATTCTGTGAATCTTTTAATACTTAGCACAGGAATTACTTCCAAGACACCAGAATATTCAGTCAAGTTGGAATATAAAATGCAATATAAAAAAATACCTTTCTATGTTACTCTCTAAGTTTTTATTCTATTATCTATTGCCTGATGAATCACTGACCAAAATTTGGGACTGATAAAATGAGCTGTCCTGAAGAATTCTAAAGAACGTCACAATTGTTCTATAGCATTTCTATTATTAGAGAGGATGCCCAAACCGTCACCTTCAACCTTAAGTCACAGTAGGGCGGCCCGTGCCTCTGCGACTGACTCAGACCCCAGAAGCCACGGGCAAGATGGCGTGTAAGGTCCCTTAATCTTCAAACACTATCTGCCAGGATTGTCTCACTTCTTTCTGTTAAACAAACAGTAATTATAATTTGTTATATAAGAACAAAAAGGAATTTTACCCTAAGGACTTGAATCCAGTTTTCCCCAGATAGAGGGTTCAATTTTTGTACTCCAAAGGTGAATCAAATCAGTAACAAAGTCAAATTACACAAACAAAGTAATTAAAATCCCCATTATTTCTAACTTGGTTGTTACGGGGCTGGATTTGGCCAGATTCTTACTGACACGAACCATTAGTTTACAGGAATCTGAACATACCATATGACCCCACTGGAAAATACCCTGCCTAATTGAGCTACCTCTATCAAAGGAAACAAGTATGTCCGGGATCACCCACGGCTCATTGCTCTCGGGATACATGAGAGCTGATGCCTGCCCCAGCCTCGCTCACATAAAAAGTGGATGCCATTTGCATTGCACTTAATAGCAGAAAAAGCTTGTGCTAGGTACACCACTATACCACGTGGACCTTCCCTCCACCAGTCACACAGGTTTCAAGGTCACTAGGCCAAGGAGACAAGTATAGGATGCAGCCATACAGTTTCTCTGTGTGAAATGAAGACCATACAGAATGTATGTTTTGAAATCTTTCTTTCTGGGGTATCTTCTACTTATGTTACACACATTCCCTAACTGTTTTCCTTCAAAGTTTTCCTTGTAAAAAAAGAACAAGCCAGGCACCAGTGGCCTGTCACCCTAGCTACTCAGGAGCCTGAGATCCAAGGATGGCAGTTCATAGCTAGTCCGGGCAGGAAAGTCCTTGAGACTCTTATCTCTAATTAACCACCAGAAAATGGGAAGTGGTGCTGAGGATCTATTGGTAGAGCACTAGCCCTGGACTGAAGAGCTCAGGGACTGCACTCAGGCCCAGAGTTAAAAAAAAGGAAGAACAAAAAATAAAAAACTTTAAAGTCCAGCGGGCGCTGGTGGCTCACGCCTGTAATCCTAGCTACTCAGGAGGCTGAGATCTGAGGATCTTGGTTCAAAGCCAGCCCGGGCAGGAAAGTCCCTGAGACTCTTATCTCCAATAAACTACTAGAAAACTGGAAGTGGTATTGTATCTCAAGTGGTAGAACACTCGCCTTGAGTTGAAGAGCACAGGGACAGCGCGCAAGCCCAGAGTTCAAGCCCCATGGCCGACCAAAGAAAAAACAAAAACAAGAAAAGTTAAAGTTTATGTTAGTGTTACGTTAAAAAAAAATCTGTTTTTTAACTCTATTCTCTCTCTTGCATGTCCTTAGGCAAATGTCACTCAAAAGAACAGAACAAAAGACAACATAATTTCACTACTAAATATATCCTCCTAACAATGGTAATTTCTACCAACAAGAATTAGCCAATAAGCCGGGCACAAGTGGCTCAGGCCTGTAACCCCAGATATTCAGGAGTCTGGGACCTGAGGATATCTGTTGAAAGCCAGCCCCAGTAGGAAAGTCTGTGAGACTCTGATCTCTAATGAACCACTGAAAAAGCTGAAAGTGGAGCTGTGGCTCAAGTGGCAGACTTTGAGCAAAAAGGTCATGGACAGCACCCAGGCCCTACGGTCAAGCTCCAGTACTAGAACAAGGGGGGGTGGGAAGGGGATGAAGAAAATAGTAACTCACTTACAACCCACTATGCTAATATTTAAATTAATACTTAATGTTATATTGAGATAAGCTCAAAAGGGTAGATATAGTATATTTTTGCTAGATCTAAAAGTCATACTTCAAGGACACGAATATACATAGACCCTTGTATATATAATTATATAAGTGTACAAACAAAGCATGGTCTTAAGGGGAAATGTAGGAAGGGGAAGCAAACAGAAAGGGGAAAATATAGAAATACACTGTAACTGGGCTGGGAAGGTGGCTCAGTGGTAGAGCGCTTGCCTTGCATGCCTGAGGCCCTGGGTTCGATTCCTCAGCACCACATAAGCAAAAAGAAAAAAAGCTGGGAGTGGTGCTGTGGCTCAAGTGGTAGAACACTAGCCTTGAGCTGAAGAGCTGAGGGGCAGCGCCCAGGCTCAGAGTTCAGGCCCCACGACTAGACCCCCCCCCCCAAAAAAAAAAAAAAAAGAAAAAGAAATACACTCTAACTGTATGTGAAACACAGCATAAAGAATCCCAGTGATCGAAAGGAATTGAGGTAGGGGAAGCAAGGAGAACAGGCTTTGTGGCAGGGGTGAGCACGAGTGGGAAGGGGTTGGGCTCACAGGGAGAGTGAATGAAGACGCAGAGTCCAAGTAGGTAGCTTTTGTGTATGCACACAGAACAATGACCTAGAGGCTGAGACCAGAAGATCCACATGACTCTTATATCCAATTAACCAGGAAAAACCAGAAGTAGAACAAACAGCCAAACAAGGGCTGAGATGGGCTCTAGAGGTAATGTGCCTGCCATGCCAGTGTGAAGTCCTGCGGACAGGTGGGCTCCTCTTCACACTCCCATGACAGCTGCCCTCCCCTCCCCACACCTGACCCAGCATGCTCTCCATGACTGTCTTCCTTTGCAGTTCCAGGGAGACTTACACTGGTCACGCGGCGGTAGATCTGCGCTGCGTTCTGGCACTCCGAGTACGGGTATTCAGAGGTGGCCATCTCAAGCATGCACATCCCAAAAGCATAAACATCAACGGACTCGTCATATTTCTCCTCATACATTTCAGGAGCCATGAACTCTGGAGTACCTTAAATTAAGAAAATTAAGTGTGAGCACACAAGTTGCAGATGTTACTACAGGGGACAAGCAAAGAGCTGACTTCAGGGTGACGAAATCAGAAAGGGTAAAAGCAAGAAGGAAAACAAAAAATGACCTTACTTCAGCCTGTCCCATTATGTATCTAATAGATCTATCTTTCATGCTAAGACCTTTGTAAGAAATTGAAAAAGGGTCAGATTATTTACACACTCTTTAAAAGAAACTCCCTCCCATTAGTTATATGTCAAAGCAGAGATCTGGCTGAGATAAATGAAAATCCCATCTCTGTATAAAGTGACAGATTAACGGGGTGCAGTGGAACATCCCAGCTCTTGGAAGGCTAAGGTAGAAAAATCCTGAGTTCAAGACCAGCTTGAGACCCAGTCTCAAGAAATAAAACAAGCAGCTGGTTTAAGAAAATTAAACACTTGTCTGCCCTCTAGTGTATGGTAGTTGTAAGACAAATATAGTTAACTTGCTCATAATAGTCCATCTGATTCTCAGCTCTCAGCTTCTTGAATACCTAGGATTACAGGTTATGAGCCACTGGGGCCCAGCTCCTGTGTGTTTTAAAGATAATAATATAACCGCCTATAAGGCCACTCATTGGAGCCTCTTTATAAACTCACCATCCCTCACTGAAGATACAAGAACTTTAGTGAGGAAGATTTTGTAGAACACGAACATAAACACAAACACGGGAAAACACATACACATACACATATACACACACACACAACTCAAAGGGTATATCATCCCACAAGCCTAGCATTTACAATGCTTCCAAATGGTTAAGACTCTAAACCTCAAATTACTCTAAAAACAAGTTTAGTCAATTTGACAAAGAAAATCAAAACTCTAAGATGCCACAGATAATCAAAGAAGTGTTTTCTGTAAAGATGGGAAAATAAAATTCAACTTCAAATACTTTTTTTCACTGTTCTTGTTAGTGTTTTATTAGTATTTTAATACTCGTTGTATAATAAATTACACACATAATGAAATTTCCAAGGATAATACTGTTTCACAGATTTTTATATTTACTGGTGTTCTATGGCTTTTCTATTAATATACTTAGGATTCTAGCCCATTTAACAAATAATGGATCTGGGCCCAGTGGCTCACACTTGTAATCCTAGCTATTAAGGAGATTAATTAAGCCAGCCCTGGCGAAAAAGTCCCTGTGAGACTTATCTCCAACTATTAAAAAACCAAAGTGGTGCTGTGACTCAAACTGGTAGAGTGTTAGCATTCAGGTCCTGAGTTCAGGCCCCACAACTGACAATAATAATAACAACAACAATAAAACAGGGTTTGTTAGGTGCTGTTCTATCGCTTCAGAGAGACAGGAGAGTGAAGATTTCAGGTTTTTAAATTGCAATAGCCACTAGAGGCGAGGAAAACTTATCACAGCAGACATTCCTTTCTCTGGCTCTGACTAGCATAATGAAGTCTGAGTGGTTCCTGCCTCCTTCTTCCCATCACAGATGCTCACTAACTACTAGGTTCTACATCAAGAGGGAACGATGTCCGGAGACAATCTGGTTGTAGCCATCAGGGGCTGAGGACAAAGGGTATGCTTCAGGTGCTGAATGCTGCTAAGTAACCCCAGGATGTACAAGCCAGCCCTTCCCAGGTGTCCACTCCAAAATGTCCAGGGGAATAAAACTGAGAAGTATGCTTTAGATACATCACTTTGAAGGGTGTGAATAAGGAAAAAAAAAGTTGTTAGAATTAGCTTTTCAGAATGAACTGTCATCTGTATATTCAAACAGTTTTAAACAGGCATTTTTGAAGATATATCTAGTGGGCATTTAAAAAAGCTATATATAAATTCCATTTTCAAGTGAAGGAAGTGATACGTAAAGAACCTTATATCATGGGCTGGGAAGGTGGCTCAGTGGTAGAGCGCTTGCCTTGCATGAATGAGACCCTGGGTTCCATTCCTCAGCACCATACAAGCAGAAAAAGCCGGAAGTGGCACCGTAGCTCAAGTGGTAGAGTGCTAGCCTTGAGCTGAAGAGTTCAGGGACAGCGCCCAGGCCCAGAGTTCAGGCCCCACGACCAACCAAAAAAAAAAAAAAAAAAGAAGAAGCTCACATCATATAAGCAGAATTCAGCACCAGGGGGTCAAGCTATAAAGTTCTTCCTTTCTATTCTATTCTTCCAACTTTTCCTGCTTGTGTGGTGCTGAGGAATTGAACCCAGGGCCTCATGCTTGCAAGGCAAGCGCTGTATTACCACTCAGCCACCTCCCAGACCTCAAGCTATAAATTTCTGAACATTAGTTTTACGTCCAAAATTCTGTCAGGATCAGGTTTCTGAATACAAGTAACATCAGAAGGCCAGCCAGGCTCCGGGACGTACTGGAAACCTACCTATCACGCTCTTGGCAAAAGAAGCCCGCTTCAGGGTCGCCAGGCCCAGGTCTCCGATCTTCACGGAGCCGGTAGGACCTGTGATAAAGATGTTGTCACACTTAAGGTCTCGGTGAATAATAGGTGGCGTGCGAGTGTGTAGAAACTGAAGTCCTTTTAGGATCTGCCGACACCAGCTTCTTAAGACTTTGATCTTCATCACTTTAAACCTCTTCAGGTACCTGCGAGAGGCAAAGAACACCAAAAGGCTATCACTGATAGCACTGCTGCTTTGAAGAATTCCACTGAATTCTAGAGTACCAGAAAAGAGAATATGAAGTTGAGGGATACTTTTTGGTAAGGTTAAAAGGGCTTATTCAAAGACAAAGTCATCTCCATACTTTTTCCTCTGAACAGTTACGGTATTAGGTAACCAGCTTTTCCTTTAAAAACTAGGTGGTCAAGTTGGCAATATCATTAGCAGGATCCAAACATTACAGAAAAATATTTAATTTGCAATTGGTAAGAAAGTCTGAGAACAAAGCACAAAAGGAATTCCTTAAAATTAGTTCTGAAGTGATTGTATTCCATTACTACGGGAGATCAGGTGTTTAAGGCCAGCATGGGGTTTACACATTGCATTCAGGGCTAGCTTGGGCTACATAGTGAGACCCTTTCTTTCAAAAGGGAAATGGGAAGTAAGTCCACTAAATCCAAAAGAAAACTCACAGTGAAATCCCAGCTACTCAAGAGGCCAAGACTCAGAGGATTACAGTGCAAGGCTGCATGAGCAAAAAAAAATAAATAAATAATCCCCATCTCAACAAAATAAGCTGGGCATGGTGTATGTAATAGACCTGCAATCCCAGCTCTGCTGATGGGAGGAATGGAAAAACCATGGTCTGAGAACAACCAGAGGCAAAAATGAAAGACTCTATCTAAAACAAAAAACAAAAACCACTAAAATTGGCTGGGCGTAGGTGTCCAACATCTATAATTCTAACTACTCAGAAGGCTAAGATATGAGGTTCCTTGTTCAAAGGAATCCCAGGCAGGAAAGTACTGTGAGATTTTTATCTCCAATGAATTACCAAAAAGCTGAAAATGGTGACATGGCTCAAAGTGGTAGCTTGAGCACAAAAGCTCAGGGACAGCTCCCAAGTCCTGAGTTCGAGCCCCAGACAGACAGACAGACAGAGACAGACAGACACACACACACACCAAAATAGGACTGGAGGATGGGGTCAAGAGGTGGAGTACTTGCCTAGCAATTGGAAGGCCCTGAGTTCAAACCCTAGTACCACACACACGCACATGCGCACATACACACGCACATGCGCGCGCACGCACACACACAAGGAAATCACAATAAAACCCTATATACTGTATGACTATAATATGTACTAATAAAATACAAAAAATGGAGATTAAAAAAAAGGAACAGAGCAAAGAAAAAAATTGATTAAAAACAGCATTGTGTGTGTGTTTAAAACTTTTTTGGGTACTGTTCCTGGGGCTTGAACTCAGAGCCTGGTTGAGTCCCTGAGCTGCTGTTTGCTCACTGCTAGCTCTCTACCACTTAAACCACAGCTCCATTTGCAGCTTCAAGTCTCACAGACTTTCCTGCCCGGGCTGGCTTCGGAATTGAGATCCCCAGATCTCAGCCTCCTCAGTAGCTAGGGTTCCAGGCGTGAGCCAAAAGCACTCAGCTAATGATTTGTTGATATTCCTAAAAGTCCTTGAGCTCTTGGCCTGTTTGTGATGCAGTCCTCTTCCATCCTTTTGGCTTCAGTGACTTTTCTTTCTCCTTATACACACTTCCATGTATGCTCCCTGCCATCCTTATATTAGCACTATATGGGCTCACATTCTGACTTGTATCTTTAGCTGCTTTCACAGATAGTATCTTTACTGGTGTAATTTACCAGTATAAATTTCTATTATACAGCCATCTGCATGTGCCAGCAAAGAAGGAAAAAGAACTAGGAACACCAGTAGCATTCATTTAGAGAGGCAAGTGGGGTAGAAAGGACAGGAATTTGTTTTTCTTGACATCTTTGCTCTCATCTTTGGTCTTAGGGAGAGAGGCCAAACTCCCTGTACTTGTCACTGCTTGGGCCACAGTTTTCCCTCTCGGGGGATAATTCAGGATTGGACACCGGCCAAGTTCCAATTCTTCTCTCTGTGGCTTCTCGGGCCTTCATCCTTACCTGGACAGTAACACGTCCCCACTTCCTTCACACTGCCTGGTCTGCAATCCCGGGACTAGGAAAGGATGGGCTCCTGTTTCAGCTTTAGCTCTGTGAGTTACCTCCTCTTTTATCTTTATCCGAGATGATCCTTTATCGCTGTCACTTGGATAGGTATTGAAACAGTGTCAGGACACTCCACGTGCTAGTGAGCTGGTGGAGGTCAGTTATTCCACAGGGGCTCCACACCCTATGTTACCTAAAATACCCTCTAAACACACTTTTTGTAAACTACCTTTCGTGTAAAAGGGAACTCAAGGTGCATAGAAGTCATGCTCCAGGCCTGTCTGCTTTTGCCGCGAGGGTGCTGCTCTGTCTGGGCTCAGGCTCGGTACAGCTGGGATCACATATGTGCTCCCACACACGCAATTTGTTCTTTGACACAGCTCTCACTAACTTTTTGTCAGACTGGAATGGACCTGTGAACTTCCTATCTCTACCTGCTAGAGAGCTGGTTTTACAGACTTTTAAACAGCACACCATTGCTGAAAGATGCTTACAACCAATGATATATCCAAACCAGAGAAAAGAAACTTAAGATGCAGATACAGAAGCCTGGGTATACTATATCTATTAAGTGTACATCTACAGCTTTCCTTGATTCATTCAAGTATTACCTCAAGTTTTAGTTATAGTGCTGGGCAGAACACAGGTGTGAGAATTACAGAAGTGTGAGTGGCCAGGAGGAAGAAAGGTGTTGCCATAAGCGGGACTGGAGAAGTTAGATAGAAAAATCAGGGTTTGAAGGTGAGAAATAATCTTCAGGTTTTCAACATGCTAGTCAGGAGTGTGAAATGGCGCAGCGCGTGCACGCACACAAACACACAGACACACACACACACACACACACACGTTGCTATATCCAGGAGACAAAATACCTTGCCTAAATACCTAGGGTCAATCAGCTCAATCAGTAATAACCTGGAGAAATGGAGGATGGTATTGTAACACTCTTTAAAAGTTCAGTTCTTGGGCCTGGGAAGGTGGCTCAGTAGTAGAGCACTTGCTTTGCATGCATGAGGTCCTGGGTTCCATTCCTCAGCACCACATAAGCAGAAAAAGCCAGAAGTGGTGCTGTGGCTCAAGTGGTAGAGCGCTACCCTTGAGCTGAAGAGCTGAGGAACAGTGCCCAGGCCCACGACTGACCAAAAAAAAAAGTTCAGTCCTTCCGTAATAACCAATGTATACACCATGTAACTTACAGCTCCTCCCTGTAAAAACAGATACTCTAAAAAACTTGCAACTCCAACTCTTACCTAAAGCTGTTGACAACAGATAACAGGGAATTTCTGCATGTTATCCAGTTCCCTGAAAGGGCGAAAGGTCTAACTATATCAGCTTTGATCTGATGCTATTCGGAACAGGGCTTAAAAGTATTCTCTAGTAATAATCATCAAAGTACAATTTGCAGCCAATATAACAGTTGCAGGTGTAGCAGGTGACAGAAAGAGTAAGGGTTATCAATAAACTGCAATGTCACTTTACTCACTTTAACCACTAGAGGGCTATCTTGCTATCTGATTTCTGGTCTCTTGGCCATCCAATCAGTATTACTTCCACTAACTAGGTTTATTCTACAATACCTTCTCATTTAGAGAGTTATCAATAAATCATTATATCACTAAGCACCGAGGACTTGCGTAGGGAAACACACATCACAATGGCTAGAAAGAGGAGTCCCTCCTCTACGTGCTGGGCAAGAAAGGTGTAACTGGAGGGGCAGGAGTAAGGAATGTGCCCATGTCTCGTAGCTTCCGTATCAAGGATGGACTCACGTTTTAAGGGTACCAGATGTCATGAGCTCCGTTACCAAAACAATGCACTTCTTCCCTTTCACTGTGGATTCCCAGGAATCATAGAACCGGACAATATTGGGATGCTGAAGACCCTTTAACATTTCAGCCTCTTCTTTAAATCTCTGCCTTTCAGACTTAGTTAACTTTCGATCCTAAAATGAAAAATCAAAGATAGAATGTAATAAAAACACAAGCCATAGGATTACAATGCTGAATATTAGCCAGATGTGGTGACAGACCTTTAATCCCAGTATTCCAAGAGTTTGAGATCCTATCTCAAGAAATAAAGTGAACTTCAGTACACATCTTTATAATAACAAAAAATGGCAAAAAAAAAAAAAAACCAAGTGAAATAAATCAAATGTACTACATTGTGATTAATACTATTAAAACAAAACAGAACACCAGAATTTACTGCTAATACTTTGGGTGAATAAAATCGTGCTTGAGATTTTATTAGTATCTTTAATATGAATCTAGACATTATTCTCATTTGGTAAGGTGCAGCTAATATACCATGTACCACTTTTCTTTTTTCTTTTCTTTTGGTAGTACTGAGGTTTGAATTCAGGGCCTTGTGTTTGCTGGGCACACCTCTAGAGCCATACCCCATGGAGATGTTCCTCCCCCGTGCTTCAGTTGTTCTGGTAAGATGTCTAACTTTTGACTCTGCTGGCCTCAAACAATGACCCGCCTATTTATGGCCTCCCTGTACCACCACACCACGCTCATTGATAAGCTCTTGCTTTTTGCCCATGCTGGTCCTTGACTGTAAGCTTCCTGATCTCTGTCTCACAAGTAGCTGAGATTACAGATATGAGCCACTACATCTGGCCCAGAGTTCCCTTTGTAAATATATAGTATCACCAAAAAAGACTGCTGTGAAAATCAAGTTATCCAACTGGTATGCTTCCGTCACACGTTGCAGATGTTTGGTAGTTCGCAGGAATTAAGTAACTTCTAATCTAAAGGCAGAGAAAAAATTATTAGCAGCCATCAAAACTGCTAGCAAACATGAGACTGAACTTGCCAGATACCTTATGTTTTATAGAGTAATATCATTTAAGTTATTTTATTGTAGCAGCCTAAATGGACATAGTGTTGGCTAGCGGGACATGAGGTTACCATTGCCTTACACATCCAGAAGCAACGTCACATCAGACATTAATTTTTTAGTCAGTATTTTTCTTTTATATGGTGCTCATATAAAATCATATTCTACTGCTTCATGTTTAGAATCAGTGTGTTTGAGCCCCTTTTCGCTGCTCTGCTCTCCAAGATTTCCTTTACCTCTTGAGCTTCCCATTTCAGCCTCCCAAACACTGCGACTATAATATTTCATCAACGCCTAACCTGTGTATTTTAAACCAAAATTTCTAAGTATTTTTCCTCAACTCAAGAAAACTCAAACTATTCTCTCTCTGCATACTGCCTCCTCTTATGTTTCATTATCTCCTTTGTAGGATTTATGTGTGGGAATCTGTGTGTACAGGGCCTCACTAGATACTTACTGCTGTTTGTCTTCTAATTTTCTGTTTTTTTTCTCTTTGCAATTTTCTGCACAATGTTCTCAGATCTAACATCCTGTTCACTGATTCGTTTGTTATTTCTAATCTGCTCATTGACCTGTTATCAACTGCTCCAGAAATGAGGGGGATGAACATAAAGCAAGACACTTCCAGCTAACCATGTAAGTCCTCCCATGCATACATTTAGACATACATGAAGAAAATAAAACACAGAGTCAAAAAGACAGGTGTGGTGGTGTGTATCTGTATACCCCAGCACTCAGGTAGCTGAGGCAGCAGAGGCAGGAGGACGAATACTTTGAGACCAGCCTAGGACACATAGTAAGACTTGGTGGCTCACACCTATAATCCTAGCTACTCAGGAGGCTGAAATCTGAGGATCACAGTTCAAAGCCAGCCCTAGCAGAAAAGTCACCATAAAACTCGCACTCAAAAACCAGAAGTGGAGCTGTGGCTCAAAGTGCTCAGGGACAGTGCCCAGGCCCTGAGTTCAAGCCCCACGACCAATAAAAACAAAAACCAGGGCTGGGACTGTGGCTTGGTGGTAAAGTGACTGCCTAGCATGCATGAAGCCCTGGGTTTGATTCCTCAGTACCACATACAAAGAAAAACACAGATGTGGCACTGTGGCTCAAGTGGCAGAGTGCGATCCTTGAGCGAAAGCTCAGGGACAGTGCCCAGGCCTTGAGTTCAAGCCCCAGGACTGGCAAAAACAATAACAACAAAGCTAAACCAGACATGGTGATGCCTGCCTGTACTCAGCATTTAAGAATAGCATCTGTGTTCTCAGATCTAAACTCTTAAAAGATCCTCTTGAGCAGGTAGGGTTCAACAGCAGGAAATGGGGCTTCACTATGTTATCCTGCCTGACCTCAAACTCAAGTATAAACTAGAGCTGATGCAGCAATCCATCCATTCCCTTCCTCCCACACTGAGCGGCTCTGACAGGCTAGCCACGCACTGACCGTCACGTGGCCTCTGATAACACGCCCAGTCAGACTGGGGTGGGAGTGAGACAATCGCGCCCCTCAGTACCATCCAAGTAACAGCACTCGGCACATTACTGATGTCATTTTTTTTCTTGAGAAAACAATGCCAACGTTTGATGCAATTGGTACATTTTCAAGCCCTTGTTTTCAACAAATTATTCCATTAAAAACACTCTCAAACAGACAACCTCTCTCTGCACCTTCATCTTCCAGTGTTTTTAAAGAATCAATCCCATTCTTTGCTATGACTGATTGGCCCCAGAGGAACATTATCCAGATCAATTTTGCAACTGAGACAGTGAAACTGGTTTTCATTAAACTTGAAATTTTGCAAGCTAGAAACTGTATCCCAAAAAGATCATTCCTCAGGTCAATTTCTGTAGTATTTTATTTTTAGCAATATTCAAAGTTTTTTGGCTAAATTAAGACTTTCATATGTTAGGTCTACATATCAAAATAAGGGTGAAATGTCTGCAATTCTCTGATTAAAGTATTTTAAGGTCACTATTGGAGCCCTCCCTCCTTATCACTTTCTGCAGTGCACTGACACAGCAAAGACCTGGACACTCAACCCACCTTCGTATTTTGTTAGTTGACCTTCCTTGCCTGGTCTCCAGGCAGAAAATACAGCAGCTTTCCAATATTCTAAGGATTTTAGTTATTATTTACAAAACTTTCCTTTTATTCTCTTATGGCCTACATGGTATGTATAACACCAACTACAAGACAGGAATATTAGCTACAGGTAATGCTTTCTTCTTTTCTGTGCTGGGTCCCACACTAGCCAGACAAGGGCTCTACCCACTGCAGTGATGCACAGGAAACCGCCAGCACAGGCAGGCAGGCAGGCAGGCGCACGCACACGCGCACACGCGCATACACGCACACACGCACTCACACGGTTAGGTTTCATGGGCCTGAAAAATTATTCATTTAAGAAACAAGAGAGCAAAGGAGGGAAGACTGTAGATATAATACTACCAGCTCATGTTAATATTAAATACTGAACTGGTATTTTTTTTTAGGGTCCTCTCCTTAACCTTATCAGTTTAATCTTTTTTACCCAATTGTGGGGCTTGAACTCAAGGCCTGGGCACTGTCCCTGAGCTTTTCTGCTCAAGGCCAGAGCTCTACCATTTTGAGCCACAGCTCTACTTTCGGTTTTCAAGTGATTAAACTGGCCATAAAGAGTCCCAAGGACGTTCCCAACCAGGCTGGCTTTTAACTGCGATCCTCAGACCTCAGCCTCCTGAGCAGCTAGAATGACAGGTGTGAGCCACCGGTGTCCCGCTCAGTTCAATCTTAATGTTCCCTTCCGTACTCACTTGGGAATTACAAAAAGAAAATGCCCAATTCTGACAGTATGTACAGCCTGCCATAGAAGTTTTCTGGGGGTGGGGAGGAAGTGGTGAACAACCTCACTATACAGCCCAGGGTATATAATGTGTCTAACTAAATTCATCAAGTGAAATCACACACTATCCTCCTTTGGTGTCTAGCTTAGTCTCTTTAGTATAATATCTTCTAGGTTCATGTGTGTCACAGCATGTGATGAAACTGCATTTCTTTTTATGCTTAAATAATACTCCACTGTGCACAAATATTTTTGTTTTCTGTTCGTGATGGCCTCAGTTTATTTCCACCTTTGTGGTCACTGTGAATGATCGCTGCCTTCAGTTCTTGGGGCATATGTAGAAGTGAAATTGCTGTGCTCTGACAATTCCAGGTTCAGCTTTTTGAGGAACCAACATTCCCAATCTTCCATATGTCAGCTGCACTGTTTTACTATGCCAACAGTGCAGAAAGGTTGCTAAATTAGTATTTAAAATTGACAAAACACATCTTTACCAACACTTTTCTTTATATAGTTTTTTTTTTGTTTTGTTTTGTTTTTTTGTCGGTCGTGGGGCTTGAACTCTGGGCCTGGGCGTTGTCCCTCAGCTCTTCAACTCAAGGCGATCGCTCTACCACTTGAGCTACAGCGCCACTTCCCACTTTTCTTATGATTATGAAATACAAACCAATTTTCAACTGAAATAAAAACTGAACTAGGTGCCAGGGGCTCAAGCTCACTAGCAACCCAGGAGGCTAAGATCTGAGGATGGAGGTTTGAAGCCAGTCCAGGCAAGAAAGTCTGTGAGACTCTTAGCTCTGATCTACCACGAAAGCCAGGAGTTTAGCTGTGGTTGAAGTGGCAGAGCACCAGTCTTAATCAAGAAGAGTTAAGGGACAGTACCCAAGCCCTAGTTCAAACCCCAGTAGCAGCACCAGAAAATTAAAGATTAAAACTTACTAAAATCAAATTAGTATCTCTGGTAGCCTATGTTGTGGCCGTCCTCCTGTATAACAAATAACGCAGCCCTGTAAGAGTGTCTTTTCAATTACAAATCAGAATCTCAGAGCCCTTTTCTCTGGTAGGCAGGTCTTCCACCACTTGAGCCACGCCTCCACACCTAATTTTTAGCCCCCGTTATTTTGGAGATAAAGTCTTGCTTTTTGTCCTCGGGAACCTAAACTTTTATTCTTCTATTTTCAGTTGCCACCATAACTGGGATGACAGGCTCAGGAGAACCTTTCCCGCTGCAATGGGTTTATAGACCTTCCTCCACCTGCCAGATCTGAGCCTCCTGTGTG